GGAGGAACCCATTGTCCAGCTTTCAGATTCAGGCAGGCACGTCAAGGTTGTGCGCGAAGGCACGCGCAGCCCCGAGCCCGTCATCGCCCGTGCCACACGAGGCGGCAAAGGCCCGCGAGTTCAGCATCCCAGCGCTATTATGGAGGCCTCACAGGAGACGTCGATGATACGCGACGACAGCCCTGGTCCCCTTGACGCCCTTCTCGCCGACGAAGAGACCCAAGTCAAAGCCAGCAAGGACAGTTCGCCTGCGCAAGAAGCCCAACAGGACGATGCCGAGGGCGAAGACGATGACATGGAAGGTGTCATCCAAGAGTCACAGCACGACGAAGCCGCTGCTGAGGATTCCGAAGAGGAGGGACCCGTCACCCGTGGCGGTCGCAACACCAGGGTATGTTTGACTGGCTATGTGTGTTTCTCACAACTAACGTCTCTTTCCAGAATCGTGCGGTTTCCGCCAAACGTAAACGAGGCGCCGATGAAAGCAGTGACTTTGAACCTGCAGCAGAGGACGAGAAGGAAGAGGAAATGTCCGAGTCGGAACACGAAAAGGAGAAGCAGTCTGCATCCGAAAGTGCGTCAGGCTCTGGACGGCGATCGACCCGCCAACGAGGGAAGACCCGGCAGTCACAGCGTAGCAGGCGCAACTCTTCTTCCGAAGAGTCCGGGTTGGACCAAGACGAACTGCAGGATGAGCTCCAAGACTTGGAGTACAATAAACGACGGCGCCTCTCTCGACGTAATCCTGACAAGGACGTGGCGTACGATGAAGCACCAAAACGCCGCGCCCGCGCTGCAGGCGTAGATTACCGTGTTGTTCGACCGGAGCAGAACGCTGTCTTCGAGAACGATGACGACGATGGCCCTGCCCCGGAGCGACCTAGAGCAAGAGGTGGACGCTCCACATACAAAAGCCTATGGCGTAGTCAAGGCCCCTTCGGTGGCGGCGTCGAGGCCGGCATGGGAGCTGCAGGTGGTGATTCTGATAGTAGTGACGATGAGAATCAGAAGATGCCGAAGCCTGTCGGCGGCGCGATCGGCATGACACCAACCACGGCGACCGCGCCTACTTTCGGGTTCCCTCAGACTCACAATGCAGACCCGAAACAAGATTCTGGTGGCGGCCCCGCCAATCTGGGCAAGGTCAAAGACAAGAAGGCCCTCGCAGATTCGGACCCTCTTGGAGTTGACCCGAACGTCAACTTCGATGGTGTTGGTGGGCTGGACGACCACATCAACAAGCTCAAGGAAATGGTCATGCTTCCTTTGCTATACCCGGAAGTGTTCCAACGCTTCAAGATTACTCCGCCACGAGGTGTTTTGTTCCACGGTCCGCCCGGTACTGGTAAGACACTTCTCGCCAGAGCTCTCGCTTCTAGCGTCAGCACTCATGGACAGAAGGTTACCTTCTACATGCGGAAGGGTGCTGATGCTCTGAGCAAATGGGTCGGAGAGGCTGAAAGACAGCTTCGTCTGTTGTTCGAGGAGGCGCGCAAAACGCAGCCAAGTATCATCTTCTTCGATGAGATTGATGGACTGGCGCCTGTTCGCTCCAGTAAGCAAGAACAAATTCACGCCTCGATTGTCGCTACTCTACTCGCTCTCATGGATGGTATGGATGGTCGTGGACAAGTCATCGTCATAGGCGCCACCAATCGTCCTGATTCCGTAGACCCTGCACTCCGACGCCCTGGACGATTCGACCGCGAGTTCTACTTTCCTTTGCCAGACGTCGCGGGTCGACGTTCCATCATCGATATTCACACAAAGAAATGGGAGCCACCTCTAAAGCCGGAGATGAAGGATCAACTTGCCGAACTTACGAAGGGCTATGGAGGTGCCGATATTCGGGCGCTGTGCACAGAAGCGGCTCTCAATGCAGTACAGGGGACATACCCACAGATTTACACTTCTGAAAAGAAGCTCCTGATTGACCCCAGCACCATCAAAATCCTAGCTAAGGATTTTATGATCTCGGTCAACAAGATGGTGCCATCTTCTCAACGAACAGTCACGGCTAGTGCAGCACCGCTGGCAAAGAACATTGAGCCGCTATTACGAAAGCCTTTAGCTGCGATCCTGAAGCGCATAGATGAGCTTATCCCGCGGAGGAAGAAGCTTAGTGCACTTGAGGAAGCAGCGTACGACGACCGCGACGACGAGAAGGGCTTCGAGCGCGAAGCCACCATGCGCAACTTTGAGAGCAGCAGAATCTTCAGACCCCGTTTGCTCATCAGCGGTCTTCAAGGTATGGGACAGCAATATCTTGGTGCTGCACTCTTGAACAAGATTGAAGGTCTGCACGTTCAGTCCTTCGACCTTCCCACTATCCTTGAGGACTCCACGCGAGCACCGGAAGCAGCCATCACTCAGCTGTTTACAGAGGTCAGACGGCACAAGCCTAGTGTCATCTACATCCCTTCAGTCGATGTTTGGTATCAGACACTACCTGCACAAGCGATCAAGACGTTCAAGCTACTACTACGGAGCGTTGGCGCTAACGAACCGATCATGCTGTTGGGTGTCATAGAACTGCTCAATGAGAAGGAGAAGCCTGATCGCCAGATGATGATGGATCTTTTCTCCTTCTCACAATCGAACCAGTTCCACCTTATGCGGCCTGATCAAGAAGGCCGAGCAGAATTCTTCAATAACATCAGTCACTACATACGGATGTCTCCAGCAGACTTCCCTGACCCGGATAACAGAAAGAAGCGAATTCTGCCTGAACTTGAGGCTGCACCTATCGTTGCTCCAGTAATCGACCCTAAGGAGCTTGCAGCCCGCGAGAAGGCGCAAAAGAAACAGGATAGGCTCACCCTCAACAAGATGAAGATTGTCATTCAGCCCATCATGGACCAACTGAAGAGGAGTCACAGGAAATTCTTCAAGCCAATCCTGGAGGAATCCTGGTACGCCTATCTGCTCGAGGAGCAAGATTCTGATCATGTGCGATCAGACCTGCCACGTGAGCAACAAGAAGAGCAAGGCGTCGTGCGTCCATGGGAATTCTCGAAGGATTCCAAAGGCGTCGACGTTTTGCTACACGTCGACAGCGGCAACAAATACTACAATCTAGACCTCGGTACGATTGAGAAGCGTCTGTCGAATGGTTACTACAAGCGCCCTGCAGATTACCTCTTCGACATCAAGACTCTTGTAAAAGATGCAAGGACTTTTGGAGATGCCGAGCGAACCCTGAAGGGCAATGAGATGATCACGAACGTTGAGGTCGATCTGGACAATTTCTTCATGCACCAAAACCCCGGGCTTCTCCAAGAATGTGAAGCAGTCTACCAGCGCGAACTCGAAAGAGAGAGGAAGGCGCAAGAGAAGCGGGAAAGAGCCATCGCCGCAAACAAGGATTTCGAAGACGTCGCACGCGTACCTCCAGAACAGTCCATCGGTACCACCGAAACATCAGGGCCTATCACTCTTGGTGAGCCTGTTCCTGGCCGTTTGGCCATGCCACCGGTAACCCCACTGCGAGCCCCCCATGCTGAAGGTCTATCCAATGGCACGAGTGGCGAAGGCACACAGCATGCAACCAACGGCTCTACCGCGCCTTCGAACGACGACACCCATATGACTGACAGTCAGGATCTGAATGCCAATACACAACACGACTTCCAATTTCAGACACCGAGCAGAATCGAGGGCCAGGGAACCCAAACGCAAAAGTCGCAGATGTCAGGGCGGACCTTTATGGCACTGAACTCGCATCCCAACGACTATCACAACAGTGCATCCACAACGACATCTGGTCAGAAGACCTCGAACAGGTCTTCAGACAACAAGTTTGGCACCCAGAGTAGCAACGGTGCTGCACCATCTGGTGTCCCCAATTTTTCAGAGATGATGCCGGAGCCGAACGGGTCGCAGCTTCCCGACACACAAGGTTCGCCAACCCCCTTCCACCAGCGACTTGAGCTCTCCACTCGCCTCTCCCCAAAGCACAACACTGACCACATTTCAAATACAGAAGTCAATTACCACAGCAGCCAGCCGTCAAACTCACAGCCATCGCAACCTTCTCAATCATCTCAGCATGTCACCTCCATGCCTGCGCCCGCTCCTCCACACCACTCGAATCTGAACCAGATTCTCAATGACGAGGAGCCGAAGCCACAGCTCATTCTCGACGACAGCATGGTTATTGCGTTGCATGACAAGCTGGTCCGATCGACATCCGGGTGTTCGCTCGAACAACTAGAGCAGATCAACGCCGCACTTATGGACGCCATCTGGAAGCACCGCTCAGACTACAATCGCAACCTTGTCCTCAAGGAGGTCACCGAGGCGTTCAACGTCATCATCAAAGACATCGAGACGATGCAAGAGATCCTCAAGTCAAGCCAAGAAGAGGAAGAGGCTGAACTGCGGCGGCAGTACCACTCTACACAAGACGACTGGTTCTCGCAGACACAGGCGCGTCGTTGAGCGTTGGCATTATCTGTAAATACCCATCTTTACTTGGGCAATTGTTCCATTTGGCTAGCATCGCGGATGGTGTTTGGCGCAGGCAGGGAAGCTTATCTGAGCGTCGCGTTGGCACGGATTTATCTTGGAGGTTATGGCATTCTTCTTTTACGCATTCCCCTCTTTACCCTACTCATGTACTATGACCCACTTTTCCTTATTCTGTTTGTTGAGGGGTGCATGCATGGTTGGCATTGGGGTAGGAGGTTTTTCTGGTGCCTGTTCTGATCACGCATTTGACAATGTGCGGAGCTGGGGTGGCGGAAGAGTAGATAGCGAATCGATAGTGCTTGTCGCACAAGATGTTTAATGATTCGGTTTTGCACGTAGTTGATCTGTTCGTCCGCCGATTGCGCGTAGCAACTGCAGTTACGCAGTGCTCAGCAGGATCACATAGCTCTCGTACCCCGTACGATATCAATCAGGCGCTAGTCATCAGGATGATATTGTCTAAATGTCGCCACTTAAACCAAGTGCTAAGGTATCATTGACAAAAAAAGAAAAAAAATGGTATACAACATATGATACATCCGCCACTACCATGAATAAGCCTTATGCTATCGATGTCATGTACAAACATGTACTTCCATTCGTGTCACAAGGGTAAGGATCCAAACAATCGTTAAAGCTCGATTCGCTACAATTGTAGCCTGGACAACCCGATACATGCGGCGCGCAACAGGTTTTTGTTGTTTTAGTAGTCGACTTTTCAGTATCTCTTCTGGTGTGACAGAGATACGGGCTCGACCCGCAGTCAGAATGTTTTTCACACTTCGCCATGGGGGGCAAAAGTATCGGCTTTGGTGTGATGCCGGCGCTCGGGGGTTGGGATTGAGATCGAGTTCGAGACGTTTGCGTGGGTGTGGACGCTGTTGCGGAGGGACTCAGATTTTCGAGAATAGGATTGAGGCTATTGCTACTTTTGGATGTAGTAGTAAGCATCGTCGTGCCCGTTGTGGCTTCTGATGATGACGAGATGTCCGGAGGCGGTGGAGGGTTCGGTGATGACTGATGGTTGTTAAACGACCATGATTACCGTATATGGGTCTTGTATACTTACGTCCGAGTCCTTAGCATGATCATCATTGTTTGATCTGATCTGCGTAGGTATAACGCTACCGAGAATAGCGACGATCGCTACAACCGCAAGAGCGATCATCGCTATAGCCAAAGGATGTCTTAGATGGGGTCTTGCATCGCTCTGGCGTCTCTTTTGCTGAGTTAGTTCGCTACGACTTTTCGAGCTTATGCTAGCGTTTTGATGTGATGATCCTCCGGAGTTCCGTGGGGTTGACATTGAATTCTGATAGCGTTCCAGTGAAAATCTCCTCGTATTTAGTTCATGCATGTTGATCGTGAGAACTTGATTGGACTGAGGTCCGGTGTTTCCCATCGAATTGAGGCCATCGTCGTTGTTGTGGTGAAGGTCAAATCGCGCATTATTCGCCATGATAGGGCTGCACCATCGGAGAAGTTAGGCGAGGGATGGGAGTAGGTGGACGGCAAGAGTGCATATACGGGGTGCGAGTATACCCAACGTTTCAAGGTCAAACGGTGTTCTGGAACACATAGGAAGAGCCTTCTGCCCTTCGTACAATGCAAGTGCCCTTTCTCCGGTGAAGAGCTGTCTGGAAATAGCATAATTTCCGCCCCAGGTGTATCAAGACCCAATAATTGAGGTGAGACGATCGACTGCCGAGTACAACTCCCTTGCCTAAGCGCCAGCTTTCTGCCCTGGAAGAGTATAGAGCTGTGTGGAAACCGCCCCGGAGATGACCTTGTTCCTGACTGGGCTTACGACGAAAAGCCCTGGGGGGCTTCCGGGGTTTGCCTTCTCTGGATGCCTAGTTACATCCCTGGAGTTATCCGGCGGCAAACGTTAAGTCGCTGCCCTCAAAGAGTTGATGGGTCGGAGTAGGGGTAGACGAGATAAGGCACTAAACAACTGTTACGCATGATTCGCTTCAAAAGTGGCACCTCCTGAAGGCGCTTCCTTTTGCATCATCGGAATTAGCGTGCGGATCCGACTGATGAGTACACCTAAAATGAGAAGCTCACTGTAAGGCAGAATCATAAAATAAACTCGAAGTTTCCACTCCGCAAGGCTAGGTACTGTATCGAGGCTGAAAGAGTAATCGTGAAGTGCCGTATAATGCGGCTAGCTGCAATCGCGACGCATTTTGCGCCATAAGATTCCTGGTGTGCAGATCCGCCAATCTGTGGCTGGATAATCGGAACTTGTCGGGGCGATGTTGCGTTCCGAGGAGGAAATATGTTTGGCTGTTGATTGTGGTCGTGTAACCACGTGAGGTTGGTGGCGCTAATCTCCATTACGATACCTAGATAGCGTATGAGCGACCTTCCTCGAAGTCTCAAGCCTGCATAGCGAACATAGACCTTTATGCATACGATCGCGGTCTTGCCAGGATGAAAAAGATGCATCTCGGCGTTCTTCCGTCAGCCTGCTTTTCACCGGTTCGTGGCTACTATTCTAGCCTCGTGCACCCGACCATGACTTCGTTCAGTGGCCACGGCATGACAACCCGAAACCAATTTAGAAACTCGAAAGCAGTCGCACCTATGTTGTTTCACCGGTAGAATATATGGTGGCCGCATCCTGCACGTTTTGAAACAGAATGCACATTCTTACAACTGCCTCCCTTTTAGCCGTTGTAAATTTGTGCGACGTGTCCGCCTTTGGGGTAGATATGATCATGGAGATCGTAGGGTGCGCAGCAAGTGTAAGTCAGCTGCTGGTCTATATAGCCTTGTCCTCCGGCCGCCTGGAGAAACTATGCGCTGAACTGAAAGACGGCTACTCAACCTATCGCGAAGAAGAGTCGAATATAAGTATCCTACTGGGGATAATCAAGCGTCTCTCGCGCCAGCATATTGCGAACGAAGATTCCATCCTTCCTGTGCTGATAGCGATCTCTACACTCGCGTGCCAGGCGCTACACCTTCTACGGCCTAACAAGGTCCTTGGTATCAACTGGACCCCAATCACGGCCCACGAAAAGATCAAATCGGCATTCCAATCACTCGAAAAAAAGAGAACGTTGCTCCATTTATACATTTCCCAAAAACATCACGACGCCCTCGTAGACCTTCGGCAGACGATCAAGACGTCCAATATGTCGTCATCAAAGACCCCTATGACTGAAACTTCGGGTACTTCCATGAATGGTGCCTCTGACGACTCAGACTCGGACGGACAGAAAAATGTACCTATGCCAACTGGAGAGACACAAGGGCGGACTAGGCGTTCCCGGGTAACTATCTCTTCCAACTACTTCGCAACGAGCTCTACTGACAGTAGCATAGGTAGTGATCACGAATTCCACTAACAGTGGCTTCAATTCCATCTTCAATGGCAAAACAATTCCTGAAGCGGACTTCAGAATTGATGGTTTTACCCAGACTGCGCAAGGCGTAAGTGCTTTGGGAAACGAGAAACAGCCCAGTGATCGCACTCTTCTTAAAGCACTTCGTAGCCGCGGCCCCGCACAAACAGCCGTAAACGCTGTTCCTCCAACAGCTTATACCAACACGACAGCCCCAAGACCTGCGATTACCAATTTTGCTCAGATAGCACGCGTTCTATCCAGCATCGATGACGAGTCACCACGCAGTTCGTCGGAAGTCTCAAACTCTGGGACTGCCTCGCAATACCACCCAGGTCAACCGATGGGTTTACCGGACAGTCAGGCGCAATCCATGTACTACGATAGTAGTGATCGACGTGTGAACGACAGCGGGTATATGAGCGTAGGGCAACAGCAAATGCCATGGCCAGCACAAGAGCAACCTACTAAGCGAACTGAGGAAAGGTCACCCAGACCCACCGCAGAATCTGGAGAAAGAGTACAAAAGAAGGGTCGGGAGCTTCGAGCAGTAAGACCAAAAAGGAAGTGAAGCTTACAGGCTGAGCGAAGCAACAGCGGATCGGAACAGGGTGGGAGATGAAGAGATAGAGGCATGGCGCAGGCTGTTGCGTGTGATTCCTTCTGCGGATATCGGAGTATCTGTTACCACGTTGGCTTCGGAGTTCAGATCTTTTATTCGGCGTACTTGCGGCTCAACTGGGCAAACGCATCGCAACTCGACGGCCATGTTCCATACCTGATTCACGATCGCCAGTGGTCGCGTTTCTATGGGTGCCTTTCGTTTCATTCCTGTGAAGTCAAAATTGCCAGGCCACATTTTACTTCATATTAATTACGGTCGTAGGATGTGCAGGTCCATCGCGTAGTTGGTATACTTGGACCTTCGTTTAGATCATCTCAATGTTATCAGCAGCTGCACTGTGCGCGGAAAATGCTTTGCTTTTTCTCCGCAGTCAGTACCCCTTTCCAACACCGTGCTCCTTCTACACCCACTCAAGCGAGCTTAGTGCAGAACCGTGACGCGTATCCAGACGCATCTAAACTATAGCAGAAACCTTCTAGAAGGAAGGTAAGCGAGGTCAGATCTGCAAAACCCAGGTGCGTGCGCAGAGATTCGGATGCGCCGGATGCGCATGTCAGCGACATGAAGCTCTTGCCCATGCAAGGAAGATAATGAACTGGTGCGAGTAGGTCTTCTTCTACGCTGTAGCCCACAACGGCGAAAAATAAGCATCTCAGAACAGCAAGAAGCATTCTTGACTTCTAGGCTCGTTACTTGCGTGTACAGTACCCTGTACTTTCCATCGTGACACGCATGCGTTCGGTTTTTCCGTGCTCTAAACGTTGACCATCTCTCACACATGCGCGCTTGCCGTTCGGACTCGATCAGACTCATACCATTCATACTGAGCCCAGCAGAGCGGTAGCATCTGTCGCGGTAAAATGTCATGGATAGCGGGCCGAAGGCGAAAAAGGACGCAAGTGCCGAAAGTTTGAAGTGCATCGAGCCATCGTGTTGTCAGACAAGGCTGAAGCTTCTCGAGCAACTTTCCACGAACGGAAGGTCAGGAGCGATATTACGCATGATGGGCGTAGGTCTTGGCTGGCTGAGAAGGATCGCGACTGTGCTCGGCCAAGTCTTTTTCCCGGGGTAAAAGAAAGACTAACGGGCCGTGCGCGCACACTCATCAAAAGAAGGCCCTCCTCAAAGCATGACGAGAAGAGCCCATTGGAGTAGCGGTTGTTGATTAATCAAGATCTTGTGTCCTGTATTCCGAGTCGTGTGTCGCATGGCTCGAATGCGTTTAGATGCCTGTGCACACCAGGGCTTCCATACCTCTTTTTCTAGAAAAATACCCACGTCCATCTCCCGTGGATGCGTCGAAGGGTGCCACACTTGTCGTTAACCTGCGCACGCCATGGTTTTGTTGTGCAGCCGTGCGCAGAGGCCGTCGGCAGTCCGGCTGTTTTGGGGATAGGCGGGCCAGGCGGGCCATTGACACTACGCTCGGATAGCCCGATGTTTGAGGCTTGCGTGAGATTGAACGTACAGTGTCCAGAGCGTATCATGTTAGTGAGATTCAGTACTTCGCTTCGTGACGGAGGTTTTTCACCCAGAGGGAACCTGGTTAGGAGAACCTGGTGTTGATGATCTTTTCATGGGGGATGATCCGGAGCTAGCGCCGATCAGATTGTAGTAACCTCCATCACCACCGCAGTTGCGCCGCGACATGAGACCTGGGCTTGATGAGTACGTGATGTCGTTGAGAAGAACACGGCTCATTGCTCGCGAGTGTGTAATCACCCGGTGTTTCCACAAGCTCCCGCTGCCATCCACCAACCACGATCTGAGTTTTTACCTTCAGATTAACCGAAGGAAGAGCTCCTCGTGGCCCAGCCGAAGCCACTGACCTTCTCCAGTGGTGCCGAGACTTTTCGACACTCAAAATACAGTAATGCCGGCCGTGCCGCAGGTCAGTCTTTGGGTCGGTGGCATGCATGATCGCACGCCTGTCAGATGACGCTCTGTTCCCCTCATCCCAGCTTGGAGGTTCTGTCGTTGATTGTCGGGTCAGTTGCTTTACAGACCACCATGATGCGCAGAAACCACGAAGCAAAAGATATAACGGTTGGCGCAAGATGAAGCCACTCCCTTCTAGAGTATACCAACGCGCCGGGAATATCACCTGCCACGTTTCGCATATAAACCGCTGCAACGCTTGTGGGCTAGCAAGCACCTTCCCACGCTGCGGCTAGGGCCATGTGGATGCCACGAGCGACGCTAGCGTTGATGGGTGGGGACCAGGGTCATCGCTTCTCTCCTCCCCAGCTTATAGTGGATCTGTAGATTACGATGCTCCTTGTCGTGAGTTCATGGCATCTCTCAGCACGCCGGGGCCCCAAAGTCGATTGTACATCATCGCCGCTTGCCCCTCGGGTAGTGCTTCTCTGTGCCTGCGCTGGTGCTCGGTCAAACGCCATATTTTTTACTTTACTTCGCCTACGATATATTTTTGGCTTTAGGTTCGACATGTTAGTTTTGGACAGCCGGAGGCCTCTTTCTTTTTAGGTGTACCCTATATACCCTTCGAAACGTTGCAGGATCAATCGTTCGTCAATCGCAATGACCATTCAGGAACCCCTGGACGTCGAATCGGCCTCGTTCGTACTACCGGCGCATATTCATCCGTGGTTACGCTCAGTCGTCGCTCTGGGCTTCATCAGCTTCTTTGCATCAGTAGCACTACTATTCTTACTCACCTACAAATTGGTATCCTGGCAACTACGGTCGAAGCGAAGCAACCAATTCGTCATCTTGATATTCAACCTTCTCTGGGCGGATATTCAACAGGCGCTTGCCTTCCTACTGAACGTCGAATGGCTACGACTGGGATCCGTCGAAGTAACCAATCCGATATGTTTTGCGCAGGGCTGGCTGGTCTCCACTGGTGACTTGGGAAGTGGAGTTTGGTGCTTCGTTATCGGATTGCACACTTTCGCCTCGGTCATCATGGACTTCCGCCTGAAGCCGCGGAATTTCTACATCTGCATCTTTCTACTATGGGCCTTCATCTTGGGAGTATCTTCAATTGGCCTCGGTATACATGGGCAAAGCATCTACGTACGATCCGGAGTATGGTGTTGGATCCATCACGACCTAGAAGACTTGCGGTTATGGACTCACTATATTTGGATCTTCGCGTTGTAAGTCTCGAATTCTACAAAATGTTTTACTCGTCTAACTCTTATTGCAGTGAATTCGGGAACGTCCTGATATACGCCATTATCTACGCGATGCTGTCGATCCGAATCCGCTCCGGCTACTACACGACCGAAGAAGCCAAGCGTGTACGTTCCATTGCAAATCTCATGGTCGTATACCCGCTCGTCTACGTCGTATGCACGATTCCCCTAGCTTCCGCTCGAATGGCGTCTATGTCCGGCAATCCGCCCTCGCTTGCTCGCCTTTGCTTATCAGGAGCAATGATCACATCGAACGGTTGGCTAGATGTACTTCTATACGCATGCACACGACGCATCATGATATTCTCCGATGAGCCACCCTCTGATGAAGATGTCATGGATACCTTCGCCGCATTCTGGATCGAAAAGCCTAAGCGCTTTGGAGGTGAAACCACAATCGTAGCGACGAATGCACACACAAGGAGAGGACGATCGAAGAGCAAGATATCGCTACCCTCAGGAGGTGAAAGCTCGGACGATCTCTGTGGATTCGGTACAAAGGATATCAAACTGGTCACTACAACCAAGGTCATAAGCGAGCCAGCGCAGCCAGAAGACTTTGAAGAGATGGACGCCGAGGCACGTATGACACGACCTCGTACACCGACAGGAAGATGGAGCGAGGAGACGACAGATACGGACAGAAGTCGTAATCTGAGTTTGAAAGAACAAGCAATACCTCATATCGCACCTTGAGGTTGCTTGTTTTGATACCGAACGACAAACTATCATCAAGGCGTATATCAGCTGCCTACATGCACAGGCCTAGGGACCTGCACCTAATAGTGTTGTGCAAAGGCGGAAACAGGGACCCTATTGGAGCCGATACACGCAAAAGTAGGACAACGTCCACGTGGCGTCAATCGCTACTAGAAGTGCCGCCGCTATAACTGTGCGGCACATGCACCAAGAGAGGGCACCGCCCAAACATATAGACAAGATAGACGAACATTACGACCACATATCGCTCAAACGATGCGCCATCACTGCTTTTGTATTTCCTTGTATATCATGAGACCCATTTTCTCCCCCAACCTAAAGACTAGTCCCCGTCCCGTTCGCCAACGCAGCAGTCAGTCTCTTCCCATAATCCAGCGTATACGCCGAATCCACAAACTCATCGAAATACTTCACCTTAGTGCCATCCTCTGTAAAAGTCAAAATGAGCGCATACTCATTCCCATACGGTCCAATTGCAGTCGTCGCCGTACTACGCGCATGTATGATGCAGGTGTGTGCGTCGGGGTCGTGCGTTTCTTGGAGAACTCTAGCCTGCAGTCGTGTTAGTCAGTTATCTGGTTGTATTGTTGGGAAGGAATGATGCTCACCGTGAAATTCTTGTACAAAGGCTCGATTCTTTTGAAGAATACGCGGTATTCGTCGTTGGTCATGGCTGTGCGGTTCAAGCTGGCGGGTAAGATGTTTTGCTTGCAGTCTGGGGTTCGGTAACCGAGGATTCTCTCGATGTCCCACGCGTTGTAGGCGGCGATGACTTCTTTGGCTACAACCTTTTGCGCGGCGAGACTGTGGGTAGTTGTTAGACGGATGTATTGAAAGACTGGAGGTCCCAGGAAAGACTTTGGTAGTTGGTAACGAGGACTTACTTGGCCTGGGGAATGACTTCAGCGTTGACGAGACATTTGTTCAAGTTCAGTCCTATCCAGATATCGCTGGTAGCCAGTGTTTCAGAGCTAGGGAAGGATGAGGCAGCAGCGAGGGTGAAAAAAGTTGAGGTGAAAACGGTTGAGGTTTTCATGATGGCTATATGGTTTGACTATGAGTTTGGTGTCACGGTGTTTTGAAGGTTTGCGTAAGTAGAATCATACTATGTGTGTTGATGGAGGACTTTATATACTCTTGAGGGATCACTACTGATGCATGCCGCTAGAGTACCTCGAACGCCAACGCTAGGCTTGAGGATATTGGCTTCGTACCATAGGTTTGGAGTATCCGACTCGCTGAGCCCATCTTCCGTTTTTGCAACCCCGGGATGAAAAACAATAAGATGGACGAAGAAGGATACCTTCCTTCACTGATTATCTTGCCAGATTCACACGGTCCTCTACAGCTGGAAGCTCGTAAGGTAGAGAGTGATCACCTTCGGAGAAGCTCGGGCGGGAAGTCATCGTTACGCTATGCATCGGCTGATTGCTTGCTATCGTCATGGTGAAAACGGAACACTTCCAGTACCGGACCGTGGCTTCACGGTGTATCGGGCTCAATGTGGAACTTGATATCCAGTGCTGCATGAGGCTTGGTGGGCGGGCTCGCATACAGCTGAGGTCGAAGACTAAGGTAAGCGAAGCGAATAAAACCCATCGGAGTAGCAGCCGGGACAAAACATCGAGACTGGTGGTGCATCTATTTTGTAGACCTAAGGCCTAGGTATTTTGGGGGCCTAAATGGCTCTACTTCTAGAACTACTGGCGCCTGCTTGTTATTCTTTGTCTCCCCCTCACGTGGATATGTATATCCCTCGTCATAGTGCCACCTTGACCAACCAGAATCGACACCCGCCTAACCCCTCAGTCGCAAGCGGCCAAGCTGTGAACTTGTAATGAGAGAATCGTTAGTTGTAGGAACTAGACGAACGATTTCAGTCAAATCCAAGAATAGCTCGTGCCCTAGGCTAGATGTAATCGTCAGCACAGTGATCTGCACGACTGGTCAAGGTGTGTCGGAATTGCAAAATCCCCTTTAAGCATATGAAGTCTGAGTGAAGTGGACATAGCGGGACGCCCATCTTCTTGCTCACGAGCTCACATGCTTACCCATTCCATCCAAGCCTCAAGGAACTTCAATCTACCCTGCCTCATATGCTCCAAAAACTCCTCGAAGTTGATCAGTCCACTTCCCTTCCGTTCGTTGATCTCCTGCTCGACAGCCTCAAGGCTCGCTAGCATGATGAGATGGAGACTAGACCTCGGGTCCATAGCGAGCTGTCGAATCGAGCGCTGCAACGGCTTGAGTTGATTCGCCTCAGGGTTATGTGGACTCGCGGAATGATTGATAGGAATACGAGCACAAAGAAATGTGTCCACGTCCTCAGAGTTTTGAGCGAAGAGGTAGTAGAACTCTGGATTGTCGGTGTACCATCGCCAATTGATCGTGTAAGGATCATCTTCTTTGTCTTGCTGTTTCGCCGAAGGATCAGGCTGAGGAGCTTCTTCAGAAGAGTCCATACCATGAGGTACCGGCGAATCAGTTTCGCCAACACATCTTTGCCCAGGATAATGCTCCAGGCCATCGTGGCCCGCCGCGATAAAGAAACAACGATTCAGAATATCTTCGCCCGAGGTTATCGAGGACGTATCAGTGTCGGAAATGACACTACTATTTGAAGAGCTGTTCGAGGCAGCCTGCAGAGTCGCTGCAGATGGAAGATTGGAGGAGTTCGGCCGGAATTGAGGCATAGTAGGATCTCTGTAGATACCAGCCAGACTTTCATTCACGAGTGGTGGTATCAGCCAGCCTTTGTTGTCTATACACTCCATGATAGCATTGACAACTTCTGTTCGAAGCCGTGACCTGATCAACAAAGTGTTCCACATCGTCATGTTGTCAACATTCGTGGGCCTGGAAACCTTCACGGATTGGAGCACTTTCGCTTCCACACTGTCGTAAAGTTCTCCGACCACTCCGCATGCCTCTTCTTGAGTGCATGGCTTATCATCGGTACGGTTGCGGAACAAGCTTTTGATAGGGCGTACATGGTTAAGGGCCCGACAGAATCTGTCGATCATGCACTTAGAGTATCGAAAGGCACCGACGTGAACAATGGCTTCGACAGCAGCCTTACTCTCTGTGAAGTGGTGCATAGTCAGCTCGTCGATAGCGGCTGCCTTTGCGCGACGCTCGCTGCGCATCTCATGCGCGTCCATAGCCATGTCTTCTTTCTCAAGGAAAAGCGGATTAAGCAATTCGTTGAAACCCTGCTGCGTAATCTGATATAACACCTCTTTGCCAAGATCTTGTTCGGGCTCGGGTATCTCATAGCCACCCCAACGCTCTCCGACAGGCCTGGATGATGAGGCATTGGAGCGTGTGTCCATCTCCACGTCGTCCTGGAAGCGGACCCTTGAAGACGACCGTGAGCTCCTGTTACGGGCCCAGTCTCCATTTAAGTCTACAGCTTCAGTCGTTCCGTTCGCACCATCGGCAGTCTCTGGCTCATCAGGGTCTGATTCCTCAAACCCTTCGGGCCGCGTTAGACCTTCTTCTTCGTCGATGTAGTATTGCCTGCGAGCCCATCTCTGAGTGACGATGCCCGCCTGTTGTTCCTCTGGCGTTTGCGATGTATAGGTGGGTGCGACGTGATGGATACCTGCTGTCCCTATTATCTCAGCCCGATCTGCCACATCGCTATTGTGCTCAAGCAGCGGCGGAGTCATGGTCGCGTCTTGTTCGCGCTTCTGCCGTAGGCGAGAGTTGCTCGTGCTTGAGGCAGCCATATTGTGGGGCGGAAAAGCAGCGCCAAGTGGCTGGCTAGAGCGAATTGTATCCAAAGCTGTCCGCACAGTCACTTCGTCCTGCAGCTCTGAGATGTAGTTTCGTGTAGCCTCCTTCTCTATGGCATAGTATGCTCTGAATATGCGTAGTATGTCCTTGCGCGATATATAGCCATCTTCATCGATGTCGTATCCACTAAAGACTATCCTGGCCTTGACATCCACATCAGAGTCGTGCATTCCGTCCAGACCCTTGACCCACTCATCGAACCCGATGAGTCCATTCTTGTCCGTATCATAGTATGCGAAGATGCGATCGTAGACGAGGTTCGGTGCGGCGACAAAGCCGTTATAGCGAGGGATGAAGGCGTGGTTGAAGTCGCGTCGATCGATGGCCCATCCTACCCCAGTTGCATCACCCGCCCACTCGGACCCTGCGAGACAAGTGAATTGGTCCCACAATGCCTCAATCTCCTCTGCTTCCATCTTGGTCTCGGCTACGAGGCGTCTCTTGAGGGCCGGGTCGATTGAGGGGCTCATCATGTGAGGCTTGCCAGGGTAGAGCGGTTCCTGTTTCTGTAGACTCAGATATGGCGCAGGTACGCGGACCTTGTAGAAGATGTGGTTCTTGTGATGCGAGTTGGTTGCTTCGCAGTTGGAGCACAGATCGAAGTCCGGGCAGTTGGCGCAGTGCCACCGGGTCCCGCGAATGGGCTTCTCGTCACAGCCATTGCATGTGATTCCACGATGTATCACGCCTTCCAATCTTGCGCGATCTTCCGCAATGTGATATAAGGTGCGCTGGAGGGTCTGGCCTTCGGGATCAATAGCATCATCCGCGTCCTCGTCGCTGCCCAACGACAGGTCTGTAGCTGCGACGCTCTCAGCGTCATCGAGAGCAGGATTGTCGCCAGGAGGGAATATCTGCGCATGCCTTGCCGCAGCGCGGGCTACTGCAGCACGATCCACTCCTGCGTTATCTGGGTTGCGATGATGCAGCCATATTCGGATGTCATCTGCCTGCGACGGGGACAGAGCTCGGTCTGGATAGAGTACGACTAGTAACCGGTCGAGGAACTCGTTGTAGAAGCTCTCGGTGAGGCGCTCTATCGTCTCATTGTCGGCGCTTGGCTGCGCGCGCAGGATCGTGTCGCGTAACTCGCTTGGCGTGCCTAGATTGCGAGGGTCGAGCGGTACTTGGATACCAAGTAGGTCGTATGGGCCTAAAAATGGTATGTCCCGTTCGTTCAGAGGAAGTGAGGGTGCCGATGGTTGGTCTCGTGGACGCCGTCTACGGACCGCATTGCTGCGCTGGAGGCCATCGCCCGCGCCTGGGCTCTGGACGTTGGTGACAATAAGGTATGTTGCATATGCAGCCGATACGCCAGCGAGAAACAATACAGCGTTCCTAGAGCGGGATAGGGTAGAGGGTGTAGACGCCGTCATGCTCGTAACTATGCTTGGTCTTGGACGAGCGGTAGCTGGTGACGCCGCAGTGTAAATGTGATGGAATAGGCGTTAAGTAGCACATGGCAGGTGGTTCCCTACCGGTAGTGCTGTAGTCACCCGTTTGAAGCCTTCATGGCGTGGAAAGGACGATCAAACGCGCTCTGGCGAAAGCGAGGGTTCCCAAGCCTCCTGCCCACATTGCGACAATCGCAGCCACGCGGCTTACTCAGCATCATCCCACGGACTTCCGTAGCTGCGTATTGGACAGAATGTCTTCACATGTTCCCAAAGTAACAGCGCTTTGAACAATGTACTTTGTATTAGCAATTAACTATATACTCTACCACGCAGCATGGCCTCCATCCATCCTCAGGTCCGCGCCAGTCATGAACGAACTCGCATCGCTCAACAGGAAGACTGCTGCACCACGGTATTCCTCCGGCTTCGACAGACGACCCAACATATTCTGCGTTGGCCATGTGTCTCTTCGCTCTGGGTACTTCTTAAAGAGCTCCTCCACCATTGCCGTCACGATGTACCCTGGCGATATTGTGTTGACGCGAATGTTGTGCTCGCCCCATTCCGATGCGAGGTTGCGAGCGAGTTGTATTACACCAGCTTTCGACGCGTTGTATGCTGAGCAGATGAGACCCTGTTGACTTGGTTAGTATGAGAAATGACAAGGAGTCGGGATCGTCCTACCCTGTTTGCGACAGTACCCGACATGCTGGCGATGAGCACGATGCTTCCTCCACTTCCAAACTTGATCATCTGTTTCGCAGCTGCTTGCGCAGTCATCATTACACCGGTGATGTTGACCTCGAACATGCGGTTCGCATCTTCAGCAGTGTACTCCAGCGCAGTGGTCTCTTGTTGAATACCGGCAGCAGCGATCAACCCATCCAGCCTGCCTTCCTTGTTGGCGATGTCCTCCACAATCGCGTGGAGCTTCTTCACATCCCGAACATCTATTTGGCGGTACTCGAGCGAGGTTCCGTATTCTTTCTTTGCTTTCTCGGCAATTGGCGCAAAGTCGGCTGAGGGTTCTTCGAGTCTGTCAAGTGCATATACTGCAGGCGCATGTTAGTTCAGGTTCTTCTGGTTACTCTTGACATATGCAGATGCATACCTCGTGCGCCAGCCTCCAGCAACGCTTCGGCTTGTGTCAGACCGAGTCCTCGAGCAGCGCCCGATACCAGCACTACCTTTCCCGCTAGGCTGAACTCTGGAAGTCCTTGAGTAGCAGGCATGGTTTGTATCATTGAATTTCAGGGATATACGACAAGAGAAGGAACGTATTTGTGAGTATGCATAAACGACGTCGCTCGCGGAAGGGTATTTATACACAAGAAGAAATGCGAGATCGGTTCGTCAATTCTACGCAAGCCGGGGCCATTGTGGACTTTTAAACCGGCTCCAGGCGGATATCTGGTCACCGGACTCTCTTGGTATAGGTCTGGCCTCGGACTGTCTTCCTCCACAGCATGCATTGGACGATTGTGGAAGACCGCGATGCTCTGTTTGCGGGGAAGCCTCCCGGCATCTTCTATGGATTGCCTAATCGGGGATACCGAAAGGTCCCCGCGGGGGATCCCAACTGAACTTTTTGGAACGTCACCCACGTCGACCAGCGTGGCGTGGACCCTGGGCCAGTAGGGTGTTCGGCCTCGAGGCAAGTGTATCCAGTTCGGGCTCGGGACATGAAGGTCCATGGTGCGCGTGAAGTTTAACACACGCGTTTGAGTGCACAGTCCAAGTCAGTCGTAGCTGTTTCGGACACCACCAGTTCGCTGGTGTATCTATCAAGGCAACAATGTATGCTACTATATGAGCTTGTTATATCACGGATCTAGCTGCAGACGCAACCATGGACTGTTTGTGTGCAGACTCCGAGAAGGCGGTGATGGCTTTCTCCACCGATCTGAGAGAGCCTCAAAGCCGTGTCCAACTGCCCGGTCATAAGACAAACTTACCATGAACGCGAAAATGGCACTACTACGTGCTTTCATTCCATGAGCGTTCGCGTCCATTCGCCGTCCTGACCATATGCGTGCCGAAAGCGATGTGTTGACTCCACTTTCGACAGCCTCCCCAACTGCGCCCTCCCTGCCCTGCCTTCCGTCATAAACCGCCCTGGGCCTGATCGCTCAGCAACCGCCTTGTAGGCCGCCTAGGCACAATTGCGCAATCACACGATTGCACGATGCCTAACGTTCTGGTCGATGTTGCGCGAAGAGGGCACAGCTAAGCCCCCCGCACGGCACAGTTTTGTGTCTCGAAGCGCCGCCCAACAACATTCACAGTGCAGTTGAAACGTCAACGATTGAGAACGGAAGTTGATAAGCGACTCTGGAGTATAGCAACGCCGCGGGCGGAATTATCAAAGAGATGTGCGCGCTGCGTGATGGTCGCCAAAACGACAGCCGCTGTGCGCTCGAAAGGATGGCGTCGTGGGCTTCAGGCATGCCGGCCGGCTCAGCTGCATCCCGCACGCATTGTTCCAACAACGCCTTTTGTCCGCCGAAATACCCCATTGTGCCCGTCCATCTCGATAACAATGTCACTGAAAGCCTCCGCTGCGCGCATACCTACCTACAGCGCCTCGCTCGCACACGCGCTAGAAACCGCCCGGTGAGGCTGCCCTCAAGGCCCAACGCCGCGGGGCAGTGCATGCAACTCACCCTCCGCAAAGCCAGCATCCAACGAAAACGCCTATGCTGAAACTGCGATTAGACGCCTGAGGCAAGGCACGGCGCAGATATGTCTCTCTCAGGTTTATTGAGGCGCTGTGCCAAAGTAAGCGGGAACCTGGCAGATGGACAGGTCGTGTGAGGCTGCTTGCTGCGCCTTCAGGCGGAGATGGTGGTTTGTTGTTAGTTGCGTATGTGGAGGGAGTTGATTGACTGGGAGGAGTGGGCAGGAAAAGGGATATGTAGGGAGTGGGTTCGCGCTTTGGGGGTTTTGTTCATATCAAGACTTTTACGTGCGATAGACACGATTATTACTGTGTGTATGGGGTCTGCATCTGGTACATCCTTTACACTACACGCATCCACATACCATTGATATCAAACGATGGCACCACACTCCCTCCACTCGTCAGTCCTCAGACCGTCCCCACACCACCAAAAACGCTCAGACTACTGCGAAACCACCTACGATTCTTCGTGCAACACCCACCGTACCATCCTTCTCGTTATCATCATCTTCGTCGGCGCTTTCGTCGGCGTCGTCCTCAGCCTAGTATACGTGCGTAGCCGCAGTCAAAAGCACAATCAAGAGCGCGCTTTACGTGTGAATGGCGGACCAGGGAGTGGAATGAGGGTGTTGAGGAGTGAGGATGGGGTAGCGACAGTGCGGTTACCGTCTGGAAGGGTGATTGGTGGGAAGGCGGAGAGTTGGGGTGGAAGGAGTTCGACTGAGGCGCCGCCGCCTTATATGCCGAGGGTGCCTGAGGCTGCTAGGGTGGGCCATTGAGAGCGTTGAACAAACGCGAAAGAGGACGTCCGTTGTGTTTGAAACATGACTGAGAGAGACACTCTTCCAAGGTCACGACTTGCCCAACTCATCGCGTTGCTACTCCTCAGATTGAGCAAAGCACGAACTATGCTCTGCTCCAGGAAAATGTCGAATTTCACATCGAGTCTTCGAAGCCAATAGTATCAGCAGTTGGCACACGAGGATCTTTCACTCCAACTAGGATTTCTCAGCTATACCAGAATTAGGACGACAGCTCCGAGACTACGAGAGCGACAAGACCGGGTCCCGCTCTTTGTCAGTCCTTTCAGACAGCCACAGCTACGCATATAATGTAAAAAGGGCCAGCGCATCAACGCGCCCAGGAGAAGTAATCGAGGACATGAACATGAAGCTGAAACGAGATTGGCACGGAAGCATAGATACCATAGTACTTATCATATTGATTCACCTGTATCACGACCCTAAATTTCCCATATCATCATGAATATTTCCCATCGAAGAAGCAACCAACGCCAGTCTCTACCAACCTCCTTTTGCTATGTAGATGACTATTCTTGCCTCCCCTCTCCATTTCTTGTCTTCATGAAGCACCTTGTAAGCCAAGGCCTACCCCGTCACCGTTACCCATGGGACCACCATCGTCTCTGCTTCTATCTCTTCCTCTTCCCATTTCCCTAATCCTGCGACCCTCCATCAGGCCCCGCAGTCCTCGCTTTTGGAGCCCTACCACCGCGCTCATTTCGCCATTCCAGGTCTCCCTATCTTCAATGCCACTTCCATCTCCGAAACCGCTATCCGAGGCCGACGCCGACGTGGATTCAGAAGCCGCTGAACTGACCTCGTCGTCGTGGTTCCGATCTACATCTGTGTTGACGCGGAGTACGCGCAGACCGGCATCCAGACTCCGTTCCACATCCGCGACTGTACTGTTGTTACTCGAAACTGAGTTGGATAATCCATTTGTGGTCCCGTTCGTGCCTGATACACCGTTGACACCTTTGAAAGCGATGCCAGAGCCGCCGCCAGCCGCCATGGCTGCAGCATTGAAGATGGCCGCGGTATTCCTGTTGTCCAATAGGACGTGAAGACGTTCGATAATCGCTTCCAATAAACCATCGATGTGGTATGGTCGCGCTAATTGGAGGAGAGAGCAGAGAATCTGCGGTGAGCATAATGCGGAGTTATGTGGTGGTAGTGATGATGTGTATAAGAAATGTATAAGCGCTTGAAGTGTAAGATGAGTGTGAGGTAGAAATAATGTTCGAGGCCGTTGCGATGGTGAGTGCGATGAAGGCTCTGGCGGGCTTAATGAGGAGTAAGAGTTCGCTGACACAGCTGTGGCCTCTGATGGGGTTATAGTGTTGGCGGTGAGAGTTGTCGCTGTTGAGTAATTCGTTCGGATAGAAGGTGTAATGGTAATGCTTGAGTTCCTCGAGGGATGCATTGTGGCAGTAGGCCGTAAAGTCGCAGCTTCAGCGTTTTCTTTCTCAGCGCTTTGGGCACTCTCGCGGAGTAATTGGTTGAAATAAGGACCCCAGCGTCGAGCAATGATGTGGGAATTAACGGGTATGCGCTCGCCATGCAAAGCAAGGAAATCCATATCGGCAAGTTCCTTCATACCCAACGCCATTTGACCTAACTCGGTCGCTGCAGGTAATAGTGTGCGACCACCAGCAAGCATATCAAGTCTGTCATGCTGTGGCGGTGCGCTGACAGAGCTGAACCCTGACGCAGGCGTTACCTTGCGTGGGTTGTCATAGAGCCCGAATGCTTCTAGTTCAACAACGCACATGTTCGAAAAATTGATGCGCCGATGATTGTAGTCTTCGACCAAGCTCCTCTTACGGTTGCCAAGAATGACGAAGCAATTCCGACGGTTCCAGAGCACACCCCTGTTCCAGCTTCCCTGACTGAAGATGTTGCCACCGGCTTCGATTCGTCCCCAACTTAGCGTTCGCAGATCAAGAGCCCAAAGCGCATACTCTTGCTTCGACGATGTCAGAAATGTGCCGCTCACCACAAAGTGGTTGTTGATAACACCACCGTTCGGAAAGCGGAGACCTGGCGGCGAGAAATTGCCGTGCATTGGCTTCTCGGAAAGCGTACCATCGGGGTGGCGTACTTGCAGCTCGAGCTTGACATCCAAGAAATTGTAGTTTGAGTAAATTAGCATCGATGATTCGCCAGTCTTGTTTGGAACCCGTTCTTCCGGTGTTCTTGCCTCACTGCCCTGTCGTGTTCCTCCACCAATATCGTTCGGGTCAATGCTAGTGAGAGGCGCGACTACGCTTCGATATGCGCCACAACTCCTGCCTAATGTGCTTGTTTCCGTCCACTTCAGACTCCGGAGGTTGAACACGCTGATTTGTTCAATGTAGTGATTGGCACTGTCCTGGCCACCCACAACAAGCATCTCTGCACCGCCTTCGCCGTCCAATTGCACTCCCAGGGAACCTTGGTTTGGGTTCGATGAAGGTGGATTGTGTCGTATGGCTGTCACAGCAGCTCCGGTCGAACTGAAGACGGCCGAGCTGGGAAGTATGGTCGCGCAGTGAGCATAGCGGCCCTGTGGAGAATCGCTTGCAGAAACGTGCATCCACGTTTTTGTCGGCGCATCGTAGATATGAACGTCTGACATCACCACCACCTCGGGTTGTGCATCGGCGGGAGCACCTTGTATCACGGAAGTCGCTTGATTAGAAGACGGACTTACAGGTGACATGCCTCCATAACAAACCAATTTCGTGTCGCCAAGCGGACAGACACTGTGGAAATACCGAGGAGGCGGGATGTCACCTTTGGCGTCGACTTTTGTCCAATGGCGCTTGACAAGGTCAAGCTCGTACAGGTCCGATGTAAGCTGCGGTCTTGTTCGGGAAAGTCGACGGCCGCCGAAAACATACAGTTTGTCGCCTAGTATCGTAGTGGTGGCGCCTACGAGCGGGTGCGGTTCCCTTCCTGTTGTGCGATGCACATTGCAGACTAAGCCCGACAACCCCGCGGTTGAACTCGTTGGTGTCGCAAGGCCTGCAAGCATCGCTGGTGACTGAGAGATACCAGGGGTCCGGGTCGACGATGTTCCATCCTGGCCGTCTTCATGATGCAAGCTGGTCTGGCTGTTATTTCGACTCGATAGATAGGGTGCCGATGTCTGAGAGTTCAGGGTGTTGGTCCGGCTAGCCATTCTGGTCGGGATATGTGGAGAAGCAGGTGCGCGCTGAAATCCACCAAGATCGAAAGGGGGATTGATAGAAGATGGTGAGAATCTTTGTAGAGGTATAGCCCAATCTGGTATCACAATCTCCACATGACGAGGCGAAACGCTGGATTCGCTGGAGGGTCTGTCGCTTGGCAATGGAGAGCCAGCGAGGCTGAGACTGCCACTCGATTGCGAAGGGCTGAAATCAATACTCGTACAATGACTTTCGGGTGTTGCAATCTGATCATAGACAATGGGCACGTGCGACGAGGCCGGAGGACAACCGGATTCGGGTGTGTTTTCCGATTGGATCCTGCGATATGCGCTGGAAGAAAAGCCCGTGGAGTCGACAGATCTTCTCTTCTTCGATACGATCTGTTTGATGTGTAATCTTCTAGACTTTTTCCAAAACGGAGAGGTGTCACCCAATGGTTGGGTACTAGAACCGATGGATGGGTACGAAAGGCCTAGAGGCAATGCCATGTTAGCGTTGAAATGCAGGATCCAAGAAAGTAATACTGAAAGAGAAAGAATCGCCTGATTTTTGAGAAGTTCCTATGTTACCAGCAGTCCCGGGCTACCAGCGAATCTCATTGACCCAGATGGGAAAGCCATGTTTACACATGAGGTATGAGGATATTGCTGCAGGTAGTGCGACTTGCTACAGTGGTACGAATGCGACTTATGGTGGTACAGAGGAAAAATTCCAGCTTTTGCAAGCACATGAGTTGGATACATGTTGATGTTGGCTGCACGCAGCAGTGGCTGAAAGTCGTCGAGAAGAAAGTGAGGGAGGGGTGCAAGCTTATAAAAGGAAGACAGATCTTACTTGAGGGTGAGCGCCACACTTAGGAGGCCACACTTAGGAGCGGGGAAGATGAGACCCAGGGGAAGGGTAGACGTATGCAGAGAAGGAAGACAACGCGTCGTCTTGCTGAACTTCAGGGCCCGCGCGATACAGAGATGACAGCAAGCCTGAGCGAGGTTCTGTGGAGCGCTCTATCTCGGATGCGGCTTAGGGTCTTGGCGTGAATCGTCAGTCTCAGGTGCCTGCAGGTCGCTAGCAAGGGAACAATGTTGGGCGTCTCTAACGTACAGCGTAACTGCAGCACTGGAGAGCTGGAGGCGTTCTTGTGTGTGAAACGGGTAGCAGCCCTTGAGGAGAAGCCAGGCAGCGGCCGGGTGCGGGGGCGGGATCCGAGATGAGAAGATAGGCTGAAACTCGAGACGCAAAGCCGTTGGGCACCTCTGGAGGCCACAGGCAGCAATGGCAATTCGCAAAGATCAATGTGCGACACGCAATTCTCGGAATACAAGGGCGCCGTAAACTTTTACTCAGCGAGGCTTGCAGGCTTGCAAAGGTATCTCATCAACGTTTAAGCACGGTCGCCAAAACAAATTAGCGCAGGGAATGCCGGCGACAAATCAAGAGTCGTTTACTCAATATTAGAGGCGCTGTTAGCTTAGCAGGCCCGCCTAGGTGTCTTCATATCGGATGATCGGTGAGGCTGAACCCAAGGAACTATTTGGAAAGCGTGAGTGTAGTAGTCGAAGACGTCCCAGTAGTGCATCGGACTGGGCCGAAACGTTGCTTCTCGGCCTTTAGCACCGTCGTCATTGTTTTCCAATCGGAGGCTAGACACCCTCAGCGCGCTTGTGAGTCGACAAGATGAAGGCGCTATTTCAGTATACGTCGTATTTACGACGCCGTGTATTCAGCAGAGGTGTTGCAGACTGAGATGTTCGTAAATGTACAAGAAGACGGCCAATCCGCTACGTGGGTATACCAGACCCTGAGATTATACGCTGCATTCTACGACAAAGAACTCGAAAATTGGACAAGTTGTATACCTTTCAGTGCGACATCATGATGAGACAACTTCGATTAAAAAAAAAAGAAAAGGGTCCTTCTGTACGATAACGACTCACGGCTGGAAGGAACGACATCTGAGTAGCTGCACAATGACTCGAGTACATTGAGCAATGAGTCTAGAAGGAAAAGGAAACCTTATTACTGGCCAAAACCGCGTCATCGCAGCGTAACACGGCACTAGAACATATTAAAGTTGGTGTTAGCTGCCGCCTACGCAGCATCGAACCCGTGTAGATGAAGAGTAGACAAGAATGTGTATACTTCTACAAAGAGTATATGGTAGGGGTTCGTGTAACATGGCTCGTTTGTAGGCGTATAGTGTGACATCATTTCCGTCATGCCCAAGCTTGATCAATATGATAGTTAGAGTATTGGAAGTGATAAAGTACAGAATGTTCAGCAGAGATGTCAAACGCTTCCCGCTAAATCATCGCCATGCCAAGTTACTGAAAGGTAAAATTCAATCGCAACCATGATTCTCCTCCGAGCGATGAGATACCCCATGCGCCTTGTCGTATATGTCGCGGGCCTCAGCAGCCAACTGCTCATTCTTGACCCAAGACGCCAAGTGGCGTTGCCCTACCCATTTGACAAGGTATTCAATATGCCCATTCTCACCAGTCTTGTGTGCTTGTATCCGCTTATACGGCCATTCCCAACTTGCCTCATCATCTGCCTTCATAGACCAGACGCCCCAGCCCTCCTTCATCTCTCCGTTCTCCCTCTCGTAGTCCAGTGCCCATTGCCTGAAGAATGCCGCAATCCAGGGTTCTTCCCCAGGTGTGTAGTCATCGGGATCGTGTTCGCGGGGTGGGAAGTAGGTAATCTCGAGTTTGGGTGCGCTGAGCTCTGGGCCATAGTGATGGCGCGCATGTTCGATGTTGACGGCGAGCAAGAAAGGATCGAGAAGCTCAGCAAGGTCGATGCCCGTATGGAATTGCCATTCGTATCGCTTCAGGATCGTGCGAACGTGCGCGAGGAGCCGTTTCTCAGCTTGCTTTGGTAGTACGTAAAAGTTGTCGTCTTGAGCGAGCTGCCGAAGGGCATCCTTGATACTACCGAGCATCTCTATGGCCCGTACTGTCACCACAAGCGACCCTGTAGCAGCATGCTCCCGTTCCCATGCTGCACATAGCTCGCATGTATCTGGTCGTAAGGGAAGGTGCGCATCGCACCAAGGTAGTGGACACTTCGCACTCGAAGAGAGGTGCGTCTCAATGCATTCTCTGCAGAAGATATGAGAACACCCAATCTTGACCGGTATCACATTTTCCCGGCCGTCTGGGGTGCTAAGGTACTCTTCGAGACAGATTGAACACTGCGCCTTCTCTACCGACAGCTGCCTGGTGGCTCGGACAATAGTCACGGAGTGAGGGCATGATGGCGCGCTTGACTTGCGCTTCGAAGGAGGCGATTTTAAGAGGTCTTGCCTGGGTGGTGGGGCCTTTCGCTTTCGGGGGCTCGCCCATACACCGGTGAAGTCGGTGCTGATGTTGTCAAAGTAAGGAAAGGGCATCCTGAGAGGCTGCAGTTGCAGTACCAAGACCCTAAAAATCCAACCAGAGCAGCTCAAACAATTGGGTACAGAGTGACAGTGTGGAGGAAGCAGGAGAGGAAGAGGCTCAGCGTGGAGAAGTTGAAGTACGGGAGGCTGCCACAGTCTTTGAAATCGGGAAGGTGCGCCTCACCGCGACTTCCCCGTTTGCACAGAAACAGCATGAGGGCAGCACTTGTGGTAAAAGACCGGAAATATGTAGGGTAAGAGACAGTCGGTACCAGTTGACGGCTCATTCGAAGTATCTGCCAGGTGACTCATTGCGGCGCGGTATCTTGTGTTACAGACACTTTCTTCTCTCTCACAATGGGAATCTCCTCCTCATACACTTCTTCGACGCGTGCCCCAGGGAACGCTTTCCTCAGTTCTTGGCCCAAAAATCGAATGCCCCAATCTTCCGCTTGCCGGTGTCCTACACAGGCTACAGATATGCCTAACGCTTTCGCGGCTTCCATGCCACTGACTCTGGGTTGACCAGTCAGGTAAAGCAAGTGTCCACCGTCTTCACCCTCCATTATCCAACCACACTCCTGAGCCATTACCAACACGCGGTGTACCTCATCCTCGTTAAAGGCGTTCATGATTGCAATGATGTGTATCTCGTCCGAGGATCCTTCGTGCGCAAGCTCCGATGCCCCAAACTCATCCTGTATTTGGCGGAACACTGCATGCAGAGGTCTAGAGGCCTGACCAATGATTCCAATCCTTCTCTCTGGATCTCCTTTGTAGCCTTGCACGCAGAGGCAGTTCGCCGTCGCCATGCCCAGCCGTTCAGCCAGCACCGTGTTCCGCCCCACAGTCAGCACTTCATCGAAAGATGTATGGCTCGAAAGTACAAGTGTCCCTTTCCGCACGCTGCGCCTGTCGAGGTTGAAAGGCCGATGCAAGAAGCATAGTGTTCGCGGCGGCCGGGGGTATATTCTTGGGAGGAGCGTCGTTGCGCCAATGGTGCTCTCGTCCAGTGGATAGCCGATCAATGAGTAGACGCCTGGTGTCGGAGTGACGCTCAATACAATCTGCTCAACCACGGCGGTCTCAGGGTCGTATCGAGGGTTTCGCGGTGCGTGGTACAGTCGCTGGACATCGTTTTCCTTCGGCGGTAGGAACGTCTCGATGAATCGCGTTACGGCTGCATGCGTGGGCTTCTTCGGTCGCGACATTGTCAGGAGAGAGGCCAGTAGTCTGTTCATTAGTTGTGATCAATAAAGCCTTTCGAAAGCTGCGCGACTTTTGGCTTCGAGTACGTCATCATCGCTTCTAAACCGTGACGCGGTGGGTGTGTAGGCCTCGCCATCGTTCCCATTGCGTTCACTATCGTCATGAATACATCTAGAAGTAAGAATGAGGTTTCGGAGGCCGTGTTCGTCGCGCGACGCGACGAAGTAAAGTCCCGAGCTTTATCATGGTGGGCAGCCCTGGAGCGCGCTGATCTGACAGAAGAAAAGACTAGTCCCGTTACGGTCTAGTCGACAATACAGCCACTCTCCCCATTCGCATCTTCCTTATATTGAGTGACGACGTTGAAGCCAGAAGAGAACTTTGAACGTCCAATGCTTTATCTGGGCGGATACCTGCATATTTGAAGCCCTTCAAGCAGTGACATTCCATGTCTGTAGTCAGCGCTCTGACTAAACGCACTATTTCCCTCGGCTTCTCTATCTTTCGCTCCAGGGTGCTCTTGACGTCGAGTCATATTCAATTATCCATCAAACATCCTCAACCCAAGTTCCAATCTTACAGCTTTATCACGATGGGCGTGACTTCAGCCCCAACTCCCGCCATTGTTGGCGCTTTGCAATGCCAAAAGGATTCTTATCTCCAAACACTCGAGACAGAGGTAGTATCCTGCGAAGAATACGTACCACCAAAGTCCTCACAACAGAACGGAAAGTCAAAAACCAAGAAGTCCACAGACCCCACCAAAGGTCTTGAGAACGGGGACGCAGCATCCGGCAGGACTTGGCTTATCGAGCTTGCGGACTCAGTGCTATTTCCGGAGGGCGGCGGCCAGCATACTGATCACGGCGTTCTCACAATACTGAAGGGCGAAAAGAAGGAAGAAGTTCCAATAAAAAGTATCCAACGCCACGGCCTACGCTGTATTCACTTCTCTCCAACGGCCCTTGAGCTTGGGACACCAGTCCGTCAAACCGTCGATTTCGCCCGCCGCTGGGACCTAATGCAACAGCACACTGGCCAACATCTCCTCTCGGCTGTCATGGACTCTATGGACTTACCTACACTCGGCTGGAGTATGGGCCAGCCCGGAGAAATGAACTACGTGGAACTACCACGGAAGCCATCGGAAGAGGAACTCCAAACCATCCAGAAGGACTGCAACACCAAGATCAGGGAGAGCATGCCGATCACTGTGGAAACACCAGAGGGCAAAGCAAGCGATAGTCTGCCTGAAGACTACGATAAAGAGAAGGGTGTTGTCCGATTTATCAAGATCGGAGATATGGACTACAACGCCTGTTGCGGGACGCATTTGCAGAACTCATCTCACATCAATGTCATTCTGCTTCACCACATGCAGTCGGTACGAGGCACCAACTGTCGGCTCTTCTTTACGGCTGGCGATCGCGCAATCAAGATGGCGACGGAGTCGATAAGTGGTCTTCGCTCCATCGCTGTGTCGTTGTCATCTGGTTCGGCACCTGCGGATGTTACGGCACGAGTACAGAAAATGAGCGACCAAATTTCTGAAGGGCAGAAGAAAGAGAAGAAATTGCTAGCTGAGATAGCAACATTCGAGGGTGATCGCATAAAGAACTACCTTCAAAGCCACGACACGGTATTTATGCATCGCGCCACAGATGGTCTTGACTTTATCAACCTCGTACTCTTCGAAATCAAGGACATCGTAAAAGAGCGAGAGGCTGTTGTGGTCTTGTGTTCGGGCGAGGTCAATAGCTCTGGATCCATCGTCGTGTTCGGCAAACCTGATTTGGTAGAGAAGATGGCGGCGAAGGTGAGGGAGGTTGTAAGCACGGCTAAAGGAGGCGGCAAGGGCGAGAAGTGGCAGGGTAAAGTCACTGAGTGGCATAAAGGCGAAGTTGAAGCGTTGAAGCAAGCTATTGATGCGCAGTAAAACTATGGGATATCTGACAGAAGGTAGATATTTACAAGTATGGTAGGCTGAGTAAAGACGAAAGTGGTATAGAGCGATTGTCCGAGATCCCAGATCCTGCGAAGCAAATAGAAAACACGAAGCAAAGGTATATACATTGAACGAATGGGGTGGCCATAAAGAAGAACATGGAGGATGGGAAGGCAGCGGGTTCATGAGTATTTAGACGCTGTAAACCTTGACGGAGTTGATGAGCCAGTACGTCTAGCCAATGTCAGCATCTAGTCTTCCATGAGCAGCCAACTATGAGGAAGACTTACATCGCCAAAGGCTTGGGGCTGGTTCGCCACGTAAGCGTTGCAACTGGGGTTAAGCTGGGAGCAAGAGTTCGAGCCCCAAACACCACCCGCCCAGTCTCCACAGAAGGTGATATCGAATACGATGTTCAAGTCCCTGAATCTGGCATTGTAATCACATCCTCCACCGAAGTTCGCGATCGGTGTACCCCAGGTTGCTGGATCGGGGTTTCCGCTCCGGATGTTTGCTGGAATGTTGCGAGTGGCAAAGTACCACACCTTGATACCACCGTCTGTCCATAGTGTGGCGTATACACCACCACCGTTGGCGTTGAATTGGGAACCGTAGGTGACAGGGTTATTGGCTGAGATACCGCAGCCGTTGAAGCCGCCGCCAGCACCGCAGTCTCCACCAATACGGCTTCCTGTCTCGCCACCTGAGCCGATCCCTGGGTTGCAGCCGGGTGAGGTGTGAAGGGTTACTTGGTTGGTGGGGGCCTTGTGAACGCCTTCGTAGATGTCGATCTCGCCTTGGTTTGGCCAGTTGGGACCGACCATCCAACTGTGAGTTCATTGTCAGTCTTGCACAGTGGGGAAGATGGAACATGGGAGTTTGAGGGGGCAAGAAACTTACAAGGCAGGCCACGAGCCACATGCGCTACCAGGCACATGTGCAAAGTCTGCGATCACAAGCGCGCGGTTGTAGGCTGTCTTGCTCTGCACGCGTACACTCTTCCGACCAGGACCGTTGGGGTCAAGGTGCGTTGTGGAGTCTACACCCATGTAGACCTGACCGTTTTGCGTCTTCAACAAGCCAAGCTGTTGAGCTTGTTGCCCGTTGACGTAGTCTACGAAACCATCTAGATGCTTGTTAGAATCGAGTGACTTGAATGTATCGCCACTGCACGTACGTGTCGGATCACCAATATCCTGGACGTCGAACTTGTTCACCCAGTTACTGGCATCGTACGTGTCGATGAGATTGTATGCAGCCGAGGCATGAATATCGTCTGAAGAGTAGACATAGGATGAACCGTTAGCCCAAAAGCCAGGCCCGGCTGGTAATGCGGTGGCACCACGCCACAGAATAGGGAGCGATATAAGGAGAGATTTGAGAGACATGGTATCGTATGTGTGATCAGGATATATTGTCGTACAGATAGACATCAAAGCCGGGATTCGGTGATATACTTATAGCCATGCGCATCTTTGTCGCAACCAAGATGCGCATGCTCCCATACCCCTTGCTCACCGTCAAAGATGCATCTAGGTCGGCTGCACTTAACAGAGGGGGATCCTCGTTGGAGATTGCATGACCTGTTGGCTCGCTGTATACAGATACCATTGGGCGCGATAATCAGATTAGGGACAAAAGCCTCGCGATGTTGCAGCACTTGTAAGGACGAATGCGCAAGGTTCGAGCGGTTCGCGGGTAATTCGCCTAGTCGAGCAGTTCGAAATTGACCCCAGAAAACGTGGACGTGCCGCATGATGGGAGTCTAGACACTTGTAGCCTCGTGGTAGGAGTAGTGGCGGTTAGACTCGCTGGTTGTTTGGCGGTTTCAGTAGTTTTGCTGGTAAACGGCTTCTGTGGCTCGTGAGTGGTGGAGAGCCATCGCCATGTCATCAAACTGGTCTTGTTCCCGCGGACCGCATCGCAAAGCGACAGCAGAACAGGAGAACAGTAACATGGAGATGTGAAATGTGACAAACAGAAATGCGTGTGAAAAGGAGTCGGGTATGGCCAAGCTCACTATTTCCCTTCTCCAGACGTTCACGTGGTGCGTCGACATACCTTCCCGAGGTTCTTTCGGGAATAGCGCTTTCACCCCGCGATTGCCTGTCTTGCCCGACCACGTCTGCATTCCAGAACTAGAAACATTCTAGAGAGTCTCGGGACAAGAAAAAGGTCGACTTGTGGACGGTAAGGACGAGATTTAGATGAGCTTTTCGTGTGTCGTGGTACAGACCCCGCAAGGTTTCTCCCCCATGGACGAGGCATCTGATGTTGGAGGTCACACTGGCTTGCTCCCACGCCACACAAGTGCCTTCTATGGCAGGTTCATCGGTGTCTGAGTCTCGACCCCGAATTATCATCGCATGTGGGGAGCTCGCGTGGTTTCACGTAGCACTGCTTGGGTCGACTAAAAGTGCGAAGCGCCTGGTCCTCTGATCTCCTGCAACAGTCCTTCACCGCTCAACGGACTTGTTGACTACCTGCTCGTGAGCCAAGAACGACCAAATTAGCCTGAAGAGAAGTATAATTGCTCTCTGTGAGCAGAAAAAGCTGCTGAATCCCATGGTCGGTTGCGGCCGCGAGTGTGGGAGCGGCTTTCCCGTAAGCATAGAAGCCGTCGTCAGGATCTGCACGTGAAGTAGATCTCATCGCCAAAGCTAGAGCTACGCTGCTATCTGAGCAATCCTGATGAAATCTAGGAGTCAAGCGTGCTGATATCACTGCTGTTGGTATGTATATATCGCACTATACTGGGAAGCGGGAGGTCTATACGCATGGCTCGATGGAACAAAGAAATACTATAACCTTCCCGCGGTGATATACCTATTCATGCTTCTGATCATATTCAATGAGTCGTCTGCTGAAGGTATGGACTCCACTTATATCTATCGGAATACGTGAAGGCGGGTCTCACTGGTGGTTGCGATAAGTATCCGGCCGTCTTTGCGCAAATGTCCAGTCACCATAGGTACTGTGCTATGATAATTGCAGAAAGGGTATATGCGCGAATCTTCTGACAGCCATATTTCACATCGAACTAGGTAACGAAGGCTAAAAAGAGCGGATCAATCTCAGTGAAGCGTATACATGCAAAAAGATCTAAAGCCAAGCTTATGACCAGGCCCGCGATGCTTTGATTTCTGTACAGATATGCCGCAGTAGTCATTCATAATAAGAATACTCTTTAGATGCGCCGTGTGTTCACTCATTCATAGCATCTATGCAGTAGTGTTCCTACTCACACTTGAGAGACGTGCCACTGTTGCGATCTAAGCGGACGACGCCCAGGTGTTGGATGACTTGTAAGGACGATCATATCTGTGCTTACCCAGGTAGTCTTGCGGCGAATGGGACAGTCACGTCTCTCATGAGTATCTTGTTATGGTCTACACATCGTAGCTCAAAGCTCCGTAAATCATCTTGGCCGCTCAACACTCGCGTATTACATAGCGAACACGCAATCTAATAGACGTTTTGGCTGACAGATGCACTACATCAAATCCGCTATCGAGTCATAGAATTCCGTAAACCCTAATATACCAGAAGAAATTCACCGATGCAAGAAGCCATCCAAGATACGAGACCTCGAGTAGAATCGGAAGTCTCGATTTTTTCACTGCCAAAATCTTGTGCAGTGTACACTCACATAGATGACTATCGATGCCAGTCACACCGTTCTCAGCCTTGTGATGGTACAGTCTGTTGCACCTGCGGAGAGGATTCATCATGACAGTCACTGAGGGCGCTGTGATGGACCCATCAACCGCCATGGCCCTCAACTTTCACTCATTACCTCTGGTGGTACAATGACTCTTTTGGACTATATGAACGAATTTCTGCCGGAGTTCATTTCTCGCACAACAGCAGAACGCAACCAGAGAGAAACATCAAGCAGAATCACTACCGTATTACACACAAGATGGCCTCACTGGATCCACATACGTCTCCGAATGCGGACCTTACGAGTGAAACGGCTTCTCCCAGCCCACCCACGTCTACAGATACGAATGCTACAGAGAATATGCACAAACTTGCCGCCATCTTCGGTACCATATCTACGGGTTGGGTTTCATGGCTTTTGATGCTGGAAAACAAGCCGAATGTTGGTTCAAACTCATCGTGGTGGCATCCCTATAGCTTGCTCAACCTCATATTACTAGGTGGCTGGTCTTTCTGGATAGTCAACTTCACGATGAGAGACGAGAAGTCAAATCGAAAGAACACGCCCGGTGAAAAGCCCAATGTATTATGGAACCTCGTCCATATCGTACCGATGTTACTTCTCCATGTTACGATCAACAAGAGCATGTCGGTCAAGGACAAGGGTCTCCTTTGGTTCTCGGCCTTGGTAGTCTTTCGATACTGGCGCGCTATCGTTACCCAATTCTTCTATACTCGATACAAGCTAGCAGAAGTGCCGTCTGATCGAGATCTAAAGTTCAACTGGAAAGATTGCACGGTTATTGTACCGACAGTCGGCCCTAAAGATAACCCAGTGTTTGAGGAGGTGGTTGCAGCCATCTTTTGGAACAGACCAGCGCGAGTCATCTTTTCGGCGAACAATTCAGGAGCCCGAGATGACGTCAAAACAAAACTTCGCGAAGTGTTCAAAGATTTCGACGGAGACATAACCAGATATCAAAAGAGCTATGGCCTAGGAGAGGGCCGGATCCCCGAGATACCCACGGAAGTCAACTGTATATTCATCAATGAGTCGAACAAGCGCAAGCAGACTTATGAAGCTATCAAGGATGTGAAAACAAAGATCATCCTCATGGTCGATGACACCGCTATCTGGCACCCACACTTTTTGCGAGCAATTCTGCCGGCCTTTAACGATCCACGTGTCGGGATCGTGGGTACGCACAAGCGAGTGGAATACAGACGCCCTTCTCACACCGATGACGAACACAAGGGGATGAGCCGCATTGAGTTCTGGCTAAACTGGTATCATGCCGGTCTGTGGAACACCATCGGCGCGCAGTATCTTGACCGTCATAGCTACGAGATTCGGGCATCAAATACTGCTGATGGCAGCGTGTTCGCCATATCCGCTCGTACCCTTGCCGTACGAACCGAGATATTGAACAACGAAAATTTTCAAACGGCGTTCGAGAACGAGTACGTATTGGAGCGGGTGTTCAAGTGGGCAACAGCATTGAGCAAATGGTACGTACCATTTGCAGGCTGTCCACTTGCTTGGTTGAAGGGAAAAGGCTTCTCCGAAAAAGGTGTCGGGCCCCTACTCGCGGACGATGACAACTTTATCACACGGTGGGTGATCAATCGTGGATGGAATGTTAAGGTTCAGTCTTCGCCCGAAGCAACCATGACCACGATATTAGGAGGCGTCAAGATATTCAAGTATTTGAATCAATGTGAACGCTGGAGCCGTACAACTTTCCGTCAGAATCCTATTGCGCTCTTCAACGATCGGACCATCTGGTGGAAATGGCCCATCGGAGTCTGGACAGTGTACTTCCCGTGGATGTACAACTTCGCGGTCTTATGGGATGGTTTGGTAATCTTTGCCTTCCTGCGATCTGGACTATATCAGGACTCCTCGAATGGCAGCGCACGACTTGTCTATCTGATCTTGGCTATATGGGCGACTAAGCTCATTAAAACTTGGCGATGGTTCTTTGAACACCCTCTGGACTTCTTCCTGTACTTCATCATCCCGGCGTACCCCTTGTTCATATACTACCATTCTTGGATCAAAATTTATACAGCGCTGAGTTGCTGGAATAACGAGTGGTCTGGAAGGAACGTGAAAAAGGCAGAAGAAGTGGCAGGAAGTGTGGCAGGAAGTGTGGCAGGAAGTGTGGCAGGAAGTGTGGCAGGAAGTGTGGCAGGACTTGTTCCTAGTTGAATTAGTCAATCTGCCAGATTGAAGGCTACCGGTGTAAGCCAACCCTTCCGAGGTTGCGCCTCCGTACTCATCCATCAACGTCATTACGGAGGTCGGTGCAATGTATTCGTCTATTCATAACGTATTCGACGGTCAGACGACATTTCTTTCCGTTTCAATGGGCGTTTTTTTGTTTTAGATACCCAGGCTTTGATACGGAGTCGTTCAGCGTTGATAGCCTTAGTTGGAATGTGTAGACATTACCTAGATAGGAACATTCAACCCGTTTTCACTACTTAGACACTTATGCCTTGACTCCATGTTGCGAACAACATACTACACTTCGGAACATCTCGAAGTTTGAAGGATGATCATCCTGGTGACGTGCTGCTAAGTGATTGCTGCGAAAGATCACAGCTCCCCGCTCGGGCTCGGGAGTACAAATGCGACGCAACCATTGTCGCAATACAATGAGATCTTAGAAGGACTGGAACGATGGCCCGGCGCATTGGTATTTCTGAACGTAGTATGAGACCTCTCGTTAATACATGCTGCTGACACTTCGTGGTTGTCAGGACTGTTTGGAAGCTAAGATTTTGTGTGGGCCCATCAAATACGTCATACCCGGTGAGGTCGGCAGGTACCTCATCTCTCACAGCAAAAGCGTGCGCAAACAAAACTCGACCACTATACGATACGAGCAGTGTCGGCAGAATAGTCTCCGTAGCCTCGATGAAAAACGGCCTTCGAGCACTAGGCGCAATTGCCTCATTCGTACCTTCCTCCACCAGAGCTGAAGCCGACCCGACGTGTTGGGACCCTTCGCTCCACATCAACTCTACTTCAACTACATCTCTTCTATGTTCCTCCTACATTACATACGTCTTCATATACTCCGCATGGAACATTAACGCACTGGTCGATATGTTGTGCCCTAGGAGGGCAGCAACACGCGCAGCACATCCTTCGATCCCGCTGATCCTGCCGATCCAAAGCCACACTCAGAGGACAACCGCTCTCGAAATAGTACCCTTATGAGCGAGGGTCTATAGAGTGGTCGGCGAGCAGACATTCAGATATCGTATGCCGGATCACCAAGGAGGTCGATATCGGTCCAGGTGCAGACACCCTGGACCCTCACAACTAAGACTCTTCATCACCTTGTGGGATCGCGCGCGCATGTGGAAGTGAATGTCGCTTGGTTTGATGGTCTCCTGCAGGACTGGGGTTGGCGAACAATGGGGGCCAGAACGTGTCAGCGTACTAAAGGAGGACTCCAAGGTTGGCGCCAATCAAGTCCTTCGCCCTCGCGTCCTCCAGCAACGTACCGTGTCGATGAAGGATAGCTTAGCTCTGCTATCTCGTGGTCCCGCAAGTCCCCCTCGCAGTGCAGAATTGCTTTTGCTTAGATGCAAGGTGGTCTGATTACTTTTGGTCAGGGTTTGCTCGGCCTTGGCCTTCTCAACCCCCTCAACCCCACTGCGGCGGCGGAAATTCGCCAGCCTAGGGCGCCCATGTGCACCATGAGGCAGCCGCTTCAGCCTGCAGATACGGGGCGGCGCCAGGCAAGCAAAACCTTCTGGTACCGTAACCGTGCTTCCTGGATAGCAGTCACAGTCGAGCCCAGCGACACGATTAGCGGGCTCCGTTGCGCGAGCCGACGATAGGGCGCACTCAAGAACAACATACTGTATCATGGGCGCTTCAGTTGAAGAAAGAAGATACGTGGTCAGCTCTCTTCCAGTCCCGACTTTCTTGAGAAATCCGGCAATTACCGCTTCTTCGCACTGTGAGGCCATCTCCAGTACCAGCCCTGACACTCAGAGGCCTGAAAGAGCGGGATCCAGCCATGCGCATGCTGCAGCAGGGTTGCGATGATCATGAGGCTCTGCTCGTGAAAGGCAATCTATCAGCCGAAGCCACGGTCTGGACACTCGCATGGGTGACGAGAAAAGCATGCGCCGGCAGCGACAGCAGAACTCCTCGTACGTTTACTCCGCATCCTTGTTTGTTTTCGGGCCGTCATGTGTCTCGCGTCCTAACACAGCGTGGTACGGCTCACGGTGCGCGGGAAGGATGATCAACCATCTGGCCGGTGTTTTCACCCTCCTGATTGGGTTTGTGGCTTGCTTGCGGGGTCGCGCGTGCATAGGCGAGACCGACACCAACGAATCATCTCTCACGCCTTGCTACTCCCTCACGGTGAGCCCGGCCGGCGGCGGCAGAGCATAATCAACATGGCGCTTTAGGCCCTGTAACGGGCCATGCCGCCCACACTCGCAGTCTTCTCCTCGGAACTGTGAACTCGCAATGCGAGGTGTACGATCGTAACGAGCCCAAATTTGTCTCCCGAGCTCGCACGACTTGGTGCACAATGGCGCACAGCGCTATCAGTCAAGCATTATTACAGCCCACCGAGGATTAAAGACTTGTCATTCGTTCTAGCATCGTTCGCACGGCATGGAACCATAAGATCGTGATATCTTAACTAGGGTTCCGAACTATTGGTACTCAGTAGCAAGTAATCCTGTGCTGATCACCCGTCGCAGTGGCTTTGGGCGTTCCAAGTGTCTGCCCATGGCTTGTTGCTGTTGCACGTCTGTGTGGCCTTCCAGAAGCGGGTATACCATTGAGTGAATCTAGCACCGCACCCCATTACGGGCGAAGGATTGCTTCAACCTTGATCAAATCATGTGTTGATACAAGCGAAGAAAGTAAGACTAAGGAGGAAACGCCCTGGAGTATATCGCGTGGCTAGTTAACGATGCAAGAAAACGTCGCGCCATCGCAGTCTCGGCTCCAGATCTAAACGGTGTATTGACTATTCCAAACCCACATCAACCCGCCGTGCCATTTGGGGGTAATCGTACGTTTGGAAGCTGGTGGTAGCGATGGAAAGCCTCTCCGCGCTTATCCTTCGACGGGAATCGCTTGTCAATATTCCGGGAGTCGCCAAAGCCTCTGCAGACCTGTCCGCACACCAATAGGATATATGCCTTCGAACACCATGAACAGAAAATGAAACACGTCTTGCATACACGCGGGCACAATCACCACCTTGTCAATTATTGTTCGGAGTTGAGTGTGCAACACACAACAAGAGGTCGACCAGGATCTTCGCGAAACAGGCCCTTTACGCTATAGCTTGTCTCGTGTCGGCCCTTCTCATCGCTGAGTCCCGCATGCCCATACCCAAGCACCCTAGACAAGCAGGGTCAATGCCGTGCGATGGAGGTTCTGGCCATCGCAACAATTTGTGGCGGTGCGGCTTCCTATACTCTTGTGCGTTCTCAACACGCTCTCCAGATGCTGCAGCATGTGTTCATGTTCACTCTGGCTACTGATTCTGAACAGTCAGCATGGGCAAATTCGTTTACCTGCCTGCGTACGGATCTGCGGCAGTGCGCAGTCACAGCCCCAGAACATGCTGTCTGGCTGGCTCATGCATGGCTTGATTGCGGTTTTGGAGTGGGCGCATAACTAAATCGATTGCGTACACTGAATTTGAACATCCCGCGAGGCTCGAATCATAATCCTGCCGCAGAACCCAAATAGGTTCTGGCCTTGCATTTTGCAACCACGATCGCTCGCTGTACTGATGTGAGTCAGCCACATACTACTTTGGGGATTCATGCCCTGTCAAAACACACGGCTTCACTACCGCGTTGAGAGCGTGGGTCGCAAGGACTGCTTGACAAGAGTAGCCTCTGCAACTAAAGTAGTCTCAACTGGCCAAGTGGCACGCTTTTCGAGACTGTTCACCCCGCACATACTGTCACTAGCTTTCCAAAGCCACCATGGGCGGCCTCTGGTATACACCAGGTGGAGAGATTAGTTTTGCGCACATGGCGACATGATAAACTTGAGCGCGGAATATTGCTGATGGCGTCAGACGGGTACCAAGCCAATGTGGTTACATGCCATGGTCGAGGTGCATCGGGATGTTGTAACGCAGTCAATGAGCAGGTGCCAGTTGCACTGCGGCCGGTATACTTGGCAAAAACCAGGCGACATTGCTGATAGGAGGGCTCGTACCAGCGAGGGTGCGGTTGACGCCTTCCACAACCTTATCCATTTCGTCGGGCCAGGAGGGTCCAGGGGCCACGCGGAATGAGATGTCACGCTGATTCCCAGATGCTGCGTTAGTATGGTACGGAACATGAGGTCCGTGTATGACAGCTAGTCCTCGGGAGCCTCTGGTCAAAGACACACGGCGTGTGCACATGGCGTGCCGTGGCAGCGCAAGGTCCCAGAGCGAAATTGCTCTGACTTGGCTCCCCACACCCGGTCCAAGGCTACGAAACGGTTACGGTTGTAGGGCAAGTGCGTTTGCTCGCGACCAGACAACGCCCAGCGCAAGCGCAGTCACATGCAATAACCATCCACCTTTGCGCCGGCCACATCGAAAACCAACCAAGATTATTCAGAGGACCATGTCACGCCATGCCACAATAGCCTTGCGATCTGCTCATGTAGGCAGTCATACTGTGCCATGACGCACCGCGAGATCAAAGGCTGGTTAGTCACGAAGAGTGGGCACGTTGGAGTCCCGCAGTGACGAAGTGACGATGAGAAACACGGTGAGGTCAGCGCGATACAGGGCCTGTTGGAGAGGCAGTGCAGCGACGAGCCCCACGAGGACTCGCTTAACGACCCGATTGAGGGCAATGGTCTAAGATTAGCATCGTCCCACGTCCAATGAGACGTCATGCTGCCAGCACAGCCGCTTGCTAGCGTCACCAGCCACAGCGGTCCGGGCAAAGCGAGAGGATCGCGTATCAGATGCGCTAAGGGCCACCAGGCGTGCGGAATGGCAGGACAGGTTCCCAGTCCTCCCATGGCTCCCCGACCGAAGCGGTGATCAAGCGTGCGTTTTCTCCAGGGTCTATCCCTAATGCGCTTGTCTTTCCCAGATGCAGCATCAAGGTTCCCACGCGCTGCACGCCTACTCGCTGACGACCCTCTACCCCTCGTCACTTTCGGCATGGCTTGCTCTGTTGGTGCGTCGACTTGCGTTGACAGGGGTCGGGCACACCGCGACTCTCAAGGGGTTAGTGCTACCACTGAGAGGCCGGAGCGCGCGATCGAGGCGGGGACGTGGATTGACGGCGGCCGGTAACTTCTGCCTTCTTTTTATTTTTCCTAGCGTGGCCTGACCGTTTCCTAATCTACCACCTCATGCCAGAGGCCCAAGCGCATAGGGCAGTAAAGCCTCCAGGACAGGGGTCTGGCCTGCCGTCGTATAGCTTCGTGCACTGTTTCCCGCTGGGGGCCATTGCGGTCTTGTCTTGGGCCTTATGTATAAACCAACTTTGCCCCCCAAGGCATCGTCCTCCATCCAGGCCTATGATCAACGCAAACACTGCTTCATCCAGACCCTTTCCGACGCCGTGGATTACCCTTCAGGACCATAGTCCTTCCTGCTTCTGACTTGTCCCTCGCTTCAGCCAGCCGCCTCAAGGACTACTCAACGGAGAGGGACTACGCGCTGTCACTCCCGTACCCATATGCAGTAAAAGATCAGCAGAGTTTCGACGCCCTTTGAGTATTCGCCGACTCATACGACAACCTTAGGATTTGATCGGCACTTCCTCCGGGAAGGTAAGCTTTCCCCTGTCGGTCCCTTATAATTTGCGCTAGCCCTACCAACCAAACACCATCGATCCGATCGCACCTACTCAGTGCTTATGCTGACTCCGTTTACGGATATAGGCATCGGCTGCAGTTCAATTCCTATCTGTTGCAACCTGCATTGCTCCACCTACCACACTCTTCATCATGGTTGACTACGCGCAATATACACCCAACATGTCTCACGACTTCGAGCTCTACTCCAACCCTCAAGAACAGCATCTAGAGTTTCACCACAACCAACCTTATGTGCCTGCCTCAACATATGCCATGGAGCACGCCTTCAGCGCTCCGTTTGACCCCATGGCTACTCTTGCAGACCTCCAACGGCCACAAGATCTACAATATCATTACGATGCCATCGCACAAGGTGTCAGGCCATATCAGTATCAAACCCCAGCAGGCTCTCCACATTCCACTTCACATTCATTCCACGAAATCCCCCCTGTGCTTTCGGCATCTTCCGAATCTGGCGCTTCAGTATCATCCTCTGCAATGGGCTCCCCATCACTTGTTCCGCAGTTCCATGAGTCGTGGCACACAATGGGGCTCGGAGCCTCTTCTGGCTATGATTACTCGGGGATGGTAGCGACTGATAAGTCGTATGTGGGTAAGTCAACTGTTCCTTTGCCGAAAACCTCGCCTTCCTCTTTCATTACATCTCCTTCATCGCCAAACATTATGCGACATGTATTCAAGACGCCTATGACTCCAGCTTCAGCCAAATGGTCTTCCAGATCAAATGGACGGAGAATCTCTCTTCTACCGGACAGGGTTACAACACCCAGTGTTACATCAGTCAATTCTCCTTCAGTCACTTCAGTTCCGCAGTCTGTTCGTTCTTTTCAGCCTTGTCGGTTGCCTTCCAATGCTACATGCAACAAAGACTAACACAACTCAAACAGATCCTAATCTCATTCAGCCCTTCCCATTCGCACCTCAGAGCCCATACCCTGAGATTAGGACTACTCCATCTCCCTACTTCCCCATTACAGAGCAGCCGCCTTCACCAGCTCTCTCTCAGCTCTCATCGCACAGCCAGCGCCCCGGTTCGGCACACATCAAGCGAGGTAGCGCCAGCCCATACCTGCACACCCAACAATACCAGCCCTACCCTCAACGTGATACGCAACGGCGAGGCTCTGTCATCTCTCTTCAATCACAAAACTCTGGCACTAGCCGCAAGAGCGGAAGCAGCTACGACAAGGATGAGACCCGCGAGAAGGGCATGTGCCCACTGCCAGAGTGTGGACGTGTCTTCAAAGACCTGAAGGCGCACATGCTCACACATCGTGCTGAACGACCAGAGAAATGCCCAATCGCGACCTGCGAGTACTATTCGAAGGGTTTCGCGAGGAAGTATGACAAGAACCGCCACACACTCACACACTACAAGGGGACAATGGTCTGCGGCTTCTGTCCAGGAAGCGGCTCAGCGGCCGAGAAGTCGTTCAATCGCGCTGATGTCTTCAAGAGGCATCTCACATCTGTTCACGGTGTCGAGCAGAACCCTCCCAACAGCCGCAAGAAGAGCCCATCTGGCCGCAAGGCTTTCGGTGGCTCGCAGCCCAACGTTGCTGGTACTTGCTCCACTTGCTCGGTCACCTTTGCCAACGCACAAGAATTCTACGAGCACTTGGACGACTGTGTACTCCGCGTCGTTCAGCAAACTGACCCCAGCGAGGCTATCAACCAACGCCTGCTCACCTCAGTTGCAGAGGACCCAGATGTCACTGAGACGCTCGACCGCAATGGTCTGTCCAAGAGCATCGAGTACACTGTTCCCAGTTACGATGAAGACGAAGAGGACGACTACGAGGAAGATGAGGTCGACAATGACGACCACGAAGATGCCACATATGGCTCTCGTCGCGCCCGCTCCGGCAAGGGCACAATCAAGTCTTCCAAACAACATTGACAATTAACACATCCCCGAGGTGTCGGCGCAACGCAGCACATCGGGGGTGGCAACCACCTACCAAACCACCAATCCTCCTCTCGCGTTCAGAAGTCGGGTCCTCGCGCTGGCCTGACCTTCTCCAAAGGCGGCGTAGCTATCGCCGGTTCTGGACGTAAGAAGCGCAAGAACTACCCCGTATCCTGGGGCTGCGCTACTGACAAGATGAAGATGAAGAAGCGCGTCTTGTGCGTCTACGATGGCCAGAGAAGGCTATGGAAAGACGACATGATGCTCGACCAAGAGTTTGAAGTACGTATGAAGCTGCCCGACGGCAAGTCGTACGTCACAGACCTGGATGTCCAGACATTCAATCGCGCAGATGCCCTGCATTCCGCAACGAGGGAGGAGAGAGGACCTTGGGTGCCCGACAACATTGTCGGCGGCATCAACAGTGTGAGCATGGAGACGGCACCACTAGAGTGGGGTCTCTGAGTACGAATAGCGATACGACATTTTGCTTTTGCTGCGAGCGTTTTGAGCGATACGGATGGGATCTACAAAAGGTTGCAAGACAGCCCGCACACAGACACGGCATGATGAACGAACGAACACCCCAACGAAATTCTTTGCTGTACTATCAAGCTTGTAGCTTTTGTATTCTTGTACTTTTCTCGATCGATACCACTGGGAGTTTGCTTTCGGCCTTTTGGCGTTTGCGCTTGCGAGCGAGATGTAATGGACGTGCTGGACGCGAAGACATAGTATCTGAATCTATTGACTATCACCATGATTTACTGTTGCACTTCATCCTGTGACCTGCTTCTTGAACAAGTAATTGCTCGACTATACAGAACTCCTACATACTCACACCTTCAAAACTGACTACCTACACATCTGAAGCTCCGAGGAGGTCCTACTACCCCAGCGCGTGGATAGAGCTGACATCAACCACGCCCCGGACCTGCGTCGTAGATCTCCCCAAAGAACGGTCTCTGGGACTTTCGGCTCTCGCACCCGTTACTCAGAGTAAGCTGCCACAACTTTCCGATGACCAGTTTATCCAGGGCAGCAGCAGGGCGTTACCCGTTGGCCTGGATTCAGCCTCAGCCACAGCTGACCATGGTTGTGTGTGTGTATGGATAAAGTGGGACGGACGGCTGGTCCTTTTTCGATACCGGGATATCGGGTTCGTCTAAGCGTGGAGGATACATTGACACGACGGGTTGCTTTTGATGGGGTATATTTGGTTATTGTGGTGGCGTGGAGGGTCTTTGGGTGCGTGCTCGTAGGGGACGCTTTGGCGATGCAGGAAGGCATTGAACTGCATTTGTTTTGGCATCTAGAGAGGTTCTGCGAGAATTTGCGTCTGGAGGCTTGCAGACGCAAGAGTCTGAATCATAAGCAAGTATCGAGTGCTTGCATGGGCGTGTTTCAACGAAATGCACTCTCCATGCCTCTTTCTGGCTATTGTCGAGTCTAGATGCATATGCTGTGTCGACTTCAGAAACAACGCTTGAGCAGTCTGGACAACTCCGCGGGCATCCTGCCGCGCCATGTTGGGTTTGCTCGACCCGTGCTGCGGGTGGGAGAAGGGAAAGGCGACAAGCGCCCCCGTGACTGCGCGTCGTGTGCTGGAAAGTAGGCGGAGAGGCGAGTGAAGGTCCGTGCTCAGTTCCCCGCGGTGGGAAGGCAGCAGCGACTTAGACAGCTTGTAGCTCCAACGACGCCCAGTATTACGCCGCAACCACACCCTCTTTCCCTCTCACAGCACTGCTACCATGGCTTCGAATATCGAGCAATCGCCATTCTTCCAGGACCAGAGGTCAAAGGGCGAAATTGTGGTCAAGGGTATGACATAACCAACACAACAACGGCGCATGCTCGCTAACTCCGATAGACCCTCCCAAGTTCGACTTGGAATCATACATTACCAACTACACCGGTACGTCTCTTGCAGTGTCTCACCAGATGTTTGCATATTCATTCCTCTTGCAGGGTACACACGAATCGATCGCCTGCACCACATCGGCGCGCACTCGCCATACCTCGCCGCCGACGCATACCGGCTTGCCATCGCGGAGGCAAAGAAGGGCAAGAATGTTGAATTGTATACAAAACTGGTAGATGAGTACAGTCGCATAGCACCACAAGACCCCGCTGCCGTGACCGATACGACATGGATTGAGAGGCAAACGAGGGTTGTGCGCGAGGAGCACGACCGGCTAGAGCATGAGTTGAAGTCATACAAGAACAACTTGATCAAGGAGAGCATACGAGTAAGTAAAGACATGGGCTATGTGTGCGCCAGTAAACTGACACTTTGCAGATGGGCAACGAGGACCTCGGTCACTTCTACTACGACACCGGCGACTTCAGCAGCGCACACAAAGCCTACATGAAGATGCGCGAACACTGCACCTCACCCAAGCACCTCGCCGATATGACCCTCCGCCTCGTATACGTCAGCATCGCACAGAAGTCATGGACGACCGTACTAGCCAACCTGGCCAAGTCGGAAGCCACTCAGCTCAAGGGCGACGAGAAGGCTAAGCTGGAGCCCATCATCTCTGCTTGTAGTGGTCTATGCCACATGGCTACGGGCAACTACCGCGAAGCTGCGACAGCATTCCTCGGTACCTCAGCGGCATACCTGACTGCAGAGCCAGCAGCGAACATCACATGGCAGAAGGAGGTCATCTCAGGCAACGACATCGCCGTGTACGGCGGCCTCTGCGCGCTTGCCTACATGGACCGTACCGACCTACAAAACAAGGTTCTAGCAAACAGCGAATTCCGCAACTTCCTTGAGCTGGAACCTCACATCCGCCGCGCCATCAACCTCTTCTGCAACTCAAAGTACAGCGCCTGTCTCGAAGTGCTCGAAGGCTACCGCAACGACTATCTCCTCGATTTGTATCTGTCTAAGATGCTCAACACAATCTACAGCCGGATCCGGAGGAAGAGCATCGTGCAGTACTTCATACCCTTCAGCTGCGTCACGCTTGATGAAATGGCCTCCAAGTTCCCGCCAGCGCAAGGCCGAACCATTGACGAGGACTTGGAGGAGATGATCAACCAACGCCTTCTCAATGCACGGATAGACCTCGTCGACCGCCTGCTCATCTGCCCACCCACCGATCCCCGCCACGACGTACACGCCGACGCTCTCAAAATGGCTGAAGCATACGATCATACCCTGCGCCTCCGATTAACGCGTCTCAACATGCAGGCAGCAGGTATGGAGATATCGTCTCAGAAGATGAACGAGAAGTCATCTAGCATCGGCGGTAGCATCGGCGACACTTTCCGCGGTTTAGGTCAAAAGATTGGGTTCTAGTAGACATACATGACAGGACCATTCCGGGGCATGCAGCTGAGGAGATGGCGCGGTAGCTAGCATTACAAGGCGTTTTGGGAGCGGCATGGCGTACACATACAGGCTCTGAGGGAAAGGCCATTAAGCGGCACTCTGGCGTTGGAATCAATACATAGCGCGGTTTGACCGATGAATCAAGACGTTATGAAGACACGTTCATCGTTCTGGTTTTGCTCGACAAGTCTCATGCAGTGGATGATCATTCCTTCATTCATATTCGTATATCCTGGGTATCTGGTATGTGTATATATCCTGCTCAACGCCAAACTTGCTAGATCATGATAACTCGCTAAGGTAACAGCAATATTTGTCTCGTAAAATAGTAATCAGCCGCCTTTGATGTCAAGAAATAGGCTGTGCGGTGCTCATCTGAACACACCTGGCCCCCTTGCTGCGGTCCACTGGTCCTGCTGCTGCTGCTGCTGTTGTTGATTCTGCTGTTGGTTTTGTTGTTGTTGCTGCGTCGTTCCAGTGCTATGGTACCCGTAGTATCCATTCGGTGCCCATGCAAAGTCGCCGCGCCCAAACCCGTTGTTCGTATCAATGGTAGGTGCGGGTGGCTGTTGAGGTTGCGTCTGCGGTAGGTGTGCATTTGGCTGTGCCGAAACGCTATTCTGCGCCACCATGGGCTGAGCGGCCATGGTGTTGACTGGCAACGTGTTCTGCGACATGGGTCGGTGGAGGGCGCCGTACGGAGAGTGGTTGGAGTGGTTGGCGGTAAAGTAGTTTTGGTGTGTTTGGAGCTGCGTAGTCTGCATCTGCTGCGCTGCTGCCGCTTGAAACTGTTGTTGCGGTGTCAGAGATTGTTGCGGGGGCCCAATCTGCTGTGGCTGCGTCTGCTGCGGTTGTTGCGGTGCGTTCGGTAGGCGTTGTTGGGGTGATTGACTACCTATCTTGTAGGCCAGTTGCTGCTGTGGGCTTCTTATGCCATGAGGGAGGCCCTGGTTGAGTTGTTGTAGTTGTTGGCGGTGGTTTGGTATGGATTGTTGACGCTGCAGCTGCTGAGAAGCATGAGGCAAGGCCTGTGCCTGAGCGGCATGTGGCCGATGGCGTGACTGTGGTGGGACCTGTATCTGCTGTGGCTGCTGCTGCATATGCACCTGTTGTGGTTGTGGTGTTGGCTGCGAGTGTGATTGCGGCGGCGGCTGCTGCTGGGCCTTGGATTGCTGCGATCGAGGCCGCGGTACTATCTGCGGCGTCTGAACAGGAGTAGTGGAAGCTCGCTTCTCCGTCTCAAACTCTCGTATCTTGGCCTTTGCTTCCTCAAGCTCTTTCTTCAGCATCTCGAGCTCGGACATGCCATTGTTCGCAGACCGACGTGAGGGTTCAGGGGTATCTGTAGGTGGGCGCTGATCCTCGCCGTTGGCTGGCTCAGAGTAGAAGCACACCCGTTTCTTGTCGTTACAGGTTGAACAGGTAGGTCTTGCACCATCGCACTGCATATGTCAGCTTCCGTTAACTAAAGATCTCATCGGCGATGTCTTACCTTGGTCTTCTTTGTCTTGCAGACGTCGCAGCTGTTTCTCGGTCGCTTTCGCTGTGGTGCTGCTATGGATTGCGTTTCGACATGTAGTGTAGGGCGTGGTCCAGGGTGGGGTCTTTGTGGAGGCGGAGGCGGGGGAGGAGGTGGTGGTGGAGTTTCGATGATTGTATGCTGTGAATCTGCAGGTGGCTGGATCAGCTCCAACAACGAACGCAGACTCTGTTGCCTCAAATCGCTCTCGATTGTGTTGAAGGGCCTCGGGGGCTCTGGTGGAGGGTCGGACCGCTTCTTCTTCAACACCCTGGGCGTGTCGGGGTCTTCGCTGCTGAGCTGCCTCGAGCGGCTTGCGAGCCTGGCCAGCGCCTCTGGATCGTTCTCCTCAAGATACTTGCGCCGTTTCGAGTCCTTCCGTGGCGGCGGGGCACGCTCTTCGTATGTCTTGTGTATGGGCACATGCTTGTAGAAGACGTCGAGCGTCTGTTTGGTGGCCGAGAACTTGATGGACAAGACGCCTTTGCAGTCGTAGACAGGTTTCGTGGCACGCTTTCCCAGCTTGGCGCCCTTGCCGTTGGCAGCGCGATCCTTGTTGAGCAGCGAGTCGTTGCAGTAGTAGGAGAAGCGGAAGCTGTCGTCCTCCCTGCTGTTCCAGCAGTTATGGAAGCTGTAGCGGTATCCGTCGATCCGCTGTATCGTGTCCACGCAGCACTTGGCCACCGCCCTCTGCTTGCGCATCTTCTCCTTGGGATCCGGCGTTGGCTGCAAAGCCTCCCTGACGCTCAATGCGACTTTCTGCTCCGCCGTCTTGGGCGCGCCATTGTTGGGTTCGATAGACTCGGCATAGTTGTGCCCCAGCGCGACAGATGGGTCCGAGAGGGACTGGTACTGCGCGGGGAAATGCGATGACTGGTAGCCGGGTGATGCATGGCTGTATTGATGTGCGAGGTGGGGTTGTTGTTGTCGTTGCGGTGGCGGTGGCTGCGGCTGAGTTGCCTGCTGAGGCTGCTGCGACGGGGTCTGCTTAGTCGCCGACGGGACTACGAAGGACGTGTCGATATCGAAGGCGAATTGGGCCTCGGTGTGCTCAGGCTCCTTGGGAGGACTCCTCAAGTATTCGCGCAACGACGTCTCGAATTGGTCGAGGGAGCGCACAGGGCCAAAGGACACGATCTTGGCCTGTGAGTCCTTTGGCTGCCGCCCTCTTTGGAGCTGCACGGGGGCTTGAGGCCATAGAGCCTGGTCGTTGGCATCGTGTGCACTCGTGGGTTGAGCATGGACGGCGGCCATGAGTGGAGCCACCCGGGGTAGTGAATAAGGAGCTTTTGAGATAGCCGTCTCCCGGTACCGTGCAAGTCTTGGCGAGAGCCCTAGACGCGATCATCAACACTTCATGGCGAGACTGACGGATGCCGGAGACGTGCTAGAGGCGCGTACGCATGGCGGGAAGTATCAGTGTTTAGATGGTAGTAGTCTAGCAGCTTCACCCATTCAAGATGCTCTACGACGCCATGAAAGCACGGGTGTAGGCATCGGAGCGTGCCTAGTCCGATGACGCATCATACAACCCGAACCTGCATGAACTTCTGGGTTGACATCGCGTCGCTTGCCATGGTGTGGATACCCTCTGTGGGAACGCGTCAGAGGACTAGTAATGTTTGTTTCTTTTTTCTTTGGTCAATGTGTGGGCGAGCATTTCAGCTATCTGCATACCTGCGCCAAGTGGCGTTGTCCATTCCAAATCATAATCACGTAGCCATCCCTCACTACTAAGAGGACTATGTATTTCTTTTATTCTACGGACTTCGTAGTCCTCCATATCCGGGTAAGGTCCTCAAACATCGACACTACAAGGTTGAAGCCCGCAGTTCCTGACTCCCGCGCTATACCCCAGCATCCCCCAGCGTGTAATGATCCTCACGAATCTCCGTATCATCCAACTGCGACATGCACACCGGAACATGCTGACGGAAGAATGCATCGTTGTATTTGAAGATCCTGCTACAATACTCACAACGTACGGCAAGATTCCAGAAAGCCTTGAAGACCTTCAAGTGATCGTACAGGCCCCAGCTTGTGTACCATTGAAGGCAATGGTCGCAGTTTGTCAGGGAATTGGAGCAGAGGGGAGTGCTTCTCAATGTCTTGCCAAGCCCAGCGTGAGTCGAGATGGCGTACTCACTGAGAATGCAGAAAGCGCAAACTTGGCGCTGTCCTCTTTCACTGTCATAGATTGATCTAACAGTGGAATGATGGCTACGACTCTTGCTGTTATTGATACCGTAGGAAGGGTAAGCTAGAGTTGATTTGCTTGGATCTTGTAAGAAAGCTGATAGACATGAGTGGTCGGAATGAGAACGTACTGAGATGTGTTGTTTACTAGCGAAGGATTCTAGTCAACAGACGCCAATCGAATGTAGACTGCTCTCCAGAACCCTATGGCAGAAGTCTAAAGGTGGCCACATTGACCGGCTACCTATGTAGATACCTCTCGCTTCGGCGATTCGTAATGGGTTTGGGAGAAGTGAATATCAAGCCGGTGCTAGATACACGCAATGTCCGTCCGCAGGCGTCTTCATGTTTATCCAAGACAGCTTTCTAACATGATAAAGTCTTCACCCTCCTCTTTCAAACCCCAGTCCTCTACCAATCATCATCACTATCCTCTCCCGCAATATCCCCTCCTTTGATCCTATCCACCACCCTCTTAACCCCCTTCTCCACGCTCTCGCCCTCAATCGCACAACCCTCATGCCAAACAATAGCATCCATAACACCATCCATGAACCACATCAGCGTCGGCACAAAGCTCACATCTAGCATGTTGCCGAGATCTGGCAGTGAATACATGTCGAAGCAGTAGATGTCGACCACATCGTACTGTTCGTAGGAAGATGACGGGAGTAGCTTTTGCAGGGCTGCGGCTACCTCGTTAGTGGTTTCGTCTTCGGGCCAGTAGGCTAGCAGGACGGTTTTTCCGGCTGTAGCTTTGATGCAGGCTGCGTATTCGGCTAGGTTGGTGATTTGGGAGAAATGCGCCATTGTGGGGAAGGTCTTGGTGTTATGTCGTGTGGTTAGGTGAAGGTGGTATGCAGGTCTCGGCCTGAGCTAAGCTTTTGTTAGTCGCCCCTCATCTACGCGGGGATCCGCACTCTACCAAGTAAACATCACGCTGGGATCCTTGGATCAGTCCCAGTACGACGGATATCGAAACGATGCCAGGAGAATCTGGGCTGATCTTGCGATTCTTCCATTTCAGTCGCTAGGCTACAATTGCGATACGTGAGGCTGTTTGACGCGTCTTCGTTCGCGCGGAAGCGCGTCTTCTCTGAAGAGGGCGTTTGACAAACAGAGGAGACATCGTCAGAGACATGATCTCTTGCTAAGTATCAGCTACATTGCTAATGAGTTATAAAATGTACGTCACATAGAACACTCGTTCTACACGCATTTTCGCTGACAGACTATAGTCATAGAGACGTAGTCTATTCGCTTTCGCAGAGGACCTCCTCTTTTTCCAACCTTTCAATGTCGACCAAATCACGCGCGTGATAATTTAATATGAACGAACATTTCAGCGAGGACTCGAGGCGTATCCCGTAGCAGTACAACTACCACGTCGAGTGCGTCGGCACCTGCGACTCCCAGACCGCCGTTCTACGATAGACGCAATGAAGCTGCTTCCACTCAGCTATAAACAGGCTATTACAGGAAGATGAGGGAGACACAAAATACTTGGAACAATAGTATCGAGTCGGAGAGCATGATGTTCTGGATTATGCGATGTCCAATCTGGTCGTCGAGGCAGCTGGTGCACGGTCAAGCAACTGCAGCACCATGTGTAAGGCGCCGTGAGCTCCTCACGTTCAAGCTATAGGTGCGGGCAAAGCTTCCTATGGTTCCTGGTGTATATGAGGACCTTTGCTGTTGACGTGCGACGCTGGTGCTGTTTAGAGATAGTCTACGACGCCATGTAGTAGGCAAAACTATGCAAACCATCCGGCTACGGTTACAATGGATATACACAGTAACTGGCACCGTACTCTCTCTCGTCAAATGATGTATCGGCAGCCAATGCTAGAATTTCCTCGACAGATCCCGAGGCCAGAAGGCACATCAGAGCTGACAAGTTGAGCAGGAAGGGGACACGCGATCAATAATAAAGTGAATATGCAACACTATCTACACTCTTTTCTGCGACATCTTTCCCTGATTCCTGTGGTTTAATTCACTCAACTCCACCACCCCCAGTTCTAGTTATAGTGCTGGTAACAGTACTCGTCCTGACAACCGCGCTGGAAACCGTCCTCGTGACCGTCGTGCTCGCAGGGCCTCTCGTAATGAAACACGAACATGCACTGGAGATCTCGCCTTGGCCGAGGCCAAGCGAAATGTGGATGCCTCCAGGAAGACCAAGCGAGATATCGAGTTGGCGCTTACGCACTGGAAGCTCCGTGGGGCAGGAAGCATCGTAGAAAGTGTACGGGCTCATAGGGTTGTAGTTCGTGTTGTCAGCGCTACGAATACAGTTAGCAAGAGGTTGGGATGAGCAAATGAAGTGGACTTACGCAGTAACGTCGAAAAGCATACAGTTCGCTTCACCATAGCCGAAGCTCAAGCACTTGCTATCGGCCTTGCAAAGCGCGCTACAGGCTTCAAATGTGTTCTTCGTGCCGCTAGATTCGAAGTAGTAGGCAGGCGTGGTTTTAACATATGCGACAATTCCGCAGCTTGGCGCGCCTGTGGGTGTGCTGAGAGGAATATTAGCCATTTGCAGAGTGTGGAAGTCAGAGATGTAGGAACCTACGGAGACGGGCTTGAGATGAGAGTTGAAGATACAACTGTAGACGAAGGCTGTATAGGAGTGGCAGAAGAGGATGGTCTGGGCGTTGAAGATGAAGAAGGCTTTGGAGTCGAAGACGGTGTTGGCTTAGTAGGAGTCGGCGTCGGCGTCGGAGTAGTAGTAGGTGTCGGACGAACAGTTACTGTAGTCTTCCTTGTTACGGAAGTGGTCGTGGTGTATCCTGACGTTACGGTCGAAGTTGCGGTCCCCGAACGAAGGATGTTGCTACAGAAGAGCGCCGCCTCAGACGTATGCCCTTCAAACGCATCCAACCCACAGTCCTCCACTAATGATGGTGTTAGCCTAATTTCTCATCATGCGAAACGAGTCCGTACCATCAGGATAGCCCCATTGCCTCCTTGAGCGACCAGACGCTTCTGCACTCGCAGCGAGCGCTACTGCCAGGCATACGGAGAACCTCATACTGCACTTGTCGGAGGGCTTGGCTAGAAGTCGACTTTTGGGGAGATGAGTTGGTACCAGGATCGATGCTGGCCGTTTGTGTCAATTGATAGAGTCCCTACTTATAAGTAATATCTACAAGCTTCGACTGCAACATTTCGACACTAGCGAAGCGGCTGAGCTGAATATTGCATCTCGCATTTCATTTGGATAGATGAACAACAGACCCCTTGCCTGCCTTGATGTTCTGGCTCGGACAAGGTGGGCTAGAACGCGTACATTGCTGCTACCGCCATAAATGAACACGAGAACGTGACCGTCTCCCGCCGGCAGATGTTGATCCACTGATGTTTACCGAGCAGAAGTTTGCACTTCTTCCTGCAGCCAGGCAGGTGGCTTTCCCGATGATACGGTCCGAGAGTGAATTGACCAATCAGGAACCTCCTCGAAATTGAAAGCGAAATATCGAAAAGTATGGGGAATTAGGCTTAAAGTAAAGTGCGGACAGGGCTGCCGTAGTTGGACCCTTCATCCCTACGCATCCCGGCAAAATTGAACTGCGTTGAGCGAATATGTGAGTGTTGCAGCGCAAAAATAGCGACGATATCCACTTAGTGTAGAAGGAGGCATTAGATCTCTTCGCTAAAATGCGTACGGATCTGATCTGGCTTCCTAAAGCCAAGCTATCTGCACTGCTTTGCACGAGCAGACGTGGGCCAGGCGCTTCAAATAACTCAAGTCTATGCCTGATCAGGTCCGGACCGACACGGACGTAACAACTACACGTTATACAGAAAGGTTCAGGAAACTTCGGCTTCAGTGTTTCCCGTGCACATGCATGAAGGCAATCACCGTATGCAAGGAAGAGAACGAACAAGTGCGATGTAGTCTACATCAGCAGAAAACAGAAAGTTTGTAAAACGGTAAGGCAATGTAGACCTCTAGGTTATTTACTTGTAGTAGGGGTTTAATTGCTTCCATGAACGGGAAAATGGTGAAGTACGCTATCCACGGCGAACGATAAACCACAGCCGCTTTGTAGTATTGTCCAGATGAAAATTTTGATGGTCCGTACCGAGCGGCTTGAGCTTAGCGTCAACAGTAAAGCTTATGCCGAGATCATTTCCTATCTCATTCCACATCTTCTTGAAGCTTTCCACGTTATGTTGATACATCGTGCCGGTAGGGCCGTCCTTCTCGAGGGGCTCGGTGGCCCCAACCTGCCGCCCAAGTATCATCGAACCCGGCTGGGGTCGTAGCAACGCGACAACGGCTTTGGAGACTTCGACTTGCTTCTCGTATCCCCACAGGTGAAAGAAAGATCCAGCAAATACCATGTCGATCTGTCCTCCGATGTCCGTGAGCGCTGACTGAGCATCGAAAATGTCAGCTATCAAGAATCTTGTCTTGAGCTTCTCCCGATCCCGGAACAACTCATAGCCCAAGTCGATAAAGTCAGGTTGTAGGTCGCAACCGTATAAGTTCTCAGTCGGTGCGCCGTCGGCCGCAAGCGTACGAATCGTCTGGCCAAAGCAGCAAGCCATGTCTAGCAGCTTCTGACCTTTGTGTAGGCGTGCAACAATCTCTTTGTGCTCGTCCGGTAGCTCAGAGAAACTCGGTTCGAGAAATCGAAAATGTCCTATGCAAGGATAGGGATGGACCTTCCAGGCTTCATCACGAAGTCTGATAACATGGTCGAGTACGTCATCTGATGGGATTCCACTCCACGTTTCGAGAAGCCGCTGGGTCTCGGGAGGTACATGGTCGTGTGAAGGGTTTTGTTCGAACCAAGAAGGCACCGTAGTCTGAGGCTCTTTGATATCGGACATCATGGTACAGTGCAAGCTTTCGTGTGATGCGATAGTGCTGTCGGCACCTGCGCAGGCACGGCTGGTTTGCTATACTTCCGTACTAGCGTCGCGCTAGTCGTTATTTCCGTGCCCGACCCGTGGACCATCGCACCTTCATCCCCTGATTCCATCCGGACCCACAGCCCGCTCTCCGCACGTACAACGCCGATAACCTTTGGAAAGAGAGAAATGACTACACAAGTTACTTGCACTCATGTCCTGCGTCTTCGACATTGCTCAACCGGCGGCCGCTCTTGACAATTTTGGAGTCGCGTACTGTTTCTCGCAAACGTTCACCGAGTTTCGGGCTGTCTGTAGTGGTGCAAGCCCTGGAGGGTACGACATCTTTGGAACGCGAAAGCATGTCGACTCAGACACAACTTGTTCTTCATAACCGTCATAAAAACACTTCGTGATTCTGTTGAAATCTTTCTGTATACCAACGACCTTGCCGGATAACAATCAACGTTTGACTTGCCGCAGAGCAATAACCTCCCAACATCCCTATGTGGCTGGGTCTGCTCTTCCATAAATTTCGGCGAAAGAAAGCACTGATTTCAGAGCTGACCAAGTCCTCATACTAAGGAGAGCATTACATATGACCTCTATGCGCAACTGGACTGAAGACACGGGTTCGGCATGTTGCTCGTGAACGACGTGCAGGAATCGAACGCAGCGGCCATCATGCTAGATGCACGATATTCTGACCTTGACAGCCTACCTATTTGTCAGGAATGATCGGCTTTTTGGGCATCATCAGTCAATATACATGTGGAGCTGTGCTTCAAACAGTCCAATAGCCTTCCGTCATGCGTAGCACAAAGCGGCCCGCATGCTCATCGGAGCCATATTCGCCAGAGGCATACCGCAGCCGAGATGACATGTCTATTGTCAACGAAGGCGTCATTGTCAACGACCCTGAAAACATTTCGCACGTAGCGTCTCAGGCTACATCCGAGCTGTACGTATCCATCAGTTCTGCTGCTACGTCGCCAACAGCCATGCTCATATCGATCTCCGACCCATCGATAGTGACAGCACCGGGCACCATGACGCTCATGCCAACCTTTCAATACGTTCAAGGTCCACGAACCCACATTTCCAACACGATCTATGACGATCATGTACGTACCAAGCCAACAGAAAGAACGTACACGGGGGTCTATGGAAAGAACGGCTAACGTAAACGCTACTTCCCTCCCGACGTACTCTTATGACCTAGCCATGTCGGCATACACTACACCTCGTTACATTAATCAACCGTGTAGGAGGTAATGAAGGCATATATAATGATGAAGAAGCACCGGTGAGAAAAAATTGCCAATTCCTATCCTTAGCCTTCAGCCTGTCATTTTCAGGATCTTCGCCATGGCCGAAAGGACTATGGGCACCTTCGGACGGAATAATACCGAAAGCACTACGGATACCGAAACGTGTAAGCTACAGGAGCGCGAAGGTGGGCGTGCGGCATGGCTCACGGTTGCTGGCTCCATACTGGTGTACTACGCCTCCTTTGGGGTTATGAACAGCTTTGGCTTCTTCCAGAACTACTATAGCAGCGACTTCCTGGAAGAAACACCACCATCGACTATCGCCTTCATTGGAACGGTTCAAATGGCGCTCATGAATTTGCTGGCTGCTCTTTCAGGGGCCCTTTGCGATCGGTATGGTGTTAAAGTTAGTACCCATCCCCAGCACTCTTTGCCCAAGACTGACCGAGATCATTAGTACCTCTACGTTGGCTCAGGTGCTGGTACTGTGCTGGCTCTCATCATGTTGTCATTTATACACCCCGGACAGTTATGGCTGGTTCTCATGACGCAAGGCTTGCTGATGGGTTTCACCATTGCTTTCGGTGTGCAACCAGCAGTTACGGTAGTTGGTCAGCACTTTACAGAACGACGTGCCTTGGCTATGGGATTAGTTTCTACAGGATCGGCACTGGGCGGCATCGGCTTCCCGCTAATGTTCGATCAACTACTACCGAGATTGGGCTTTCCAAATTCGCTACGTCTGGCTGCTGTAAAGATAGCGTATGTAAAAGCCGCCGCGTCGGCTTTTCATCAGCTAACGTTCAAAGTGTTTGCTACTTTGTCGCCCTACGTATCTCTACGAGCAAGCCCAGTGGCAAACCGAATCGCAAAGGGCTTAATTCGCTCATCGACTTCAAAGGATTTATCGACACACGCTATGCTGTACTATGCATCGGAACGTGGCTTGCCATACTAGGCCTTTGGATCCCTGCGTATTATCTCAAGCCATATGCTAACTCAGTATATCCTGGCAACAAAGTTAGCGACTATTTCTTGTGCATGCTGAACGGCTCCAGCATTATCGGCGCAACTTTGGGAGGCTTCATTGGGGATCAAATCGGCAGACTGAACCTACTCTGGCCCATTACCCTCGTCTCTGGCTGCCTTTGTCTTTTCCTATGGCTACTTGGCAACTCCATGGCTACTCTCATTTTCTTCGTCTGCGTATACGGCTTCTTGACCAGCAATGTTACTGCTCTCCCACCCTCCATAATTGGCCACATCACACCCAACGAGAAGTTGGGAGCGCGCATTGGAGCTTTCTACAGCGTCATCGCTATAGCTAGCCTTGTTGGTACACCGATTGGTGGTGCACTTATCACGAATCATGACACAAGAGACGGGTATCGATGGTTGATCGTATTTTCAGTAAGCTATTTTTCATCTATGAGCATATGGCCGATGGAGTCACTAATCAGCAACAGGGTGCTGCGCTTCTCATCGGATCAGCTTTCATGTTCATCAGCCGGCTATTACATGACAAGGCCCTCCACACGAAATGGTAGATATGTGGCCACCTCGCTAGTAAGCGAGGAGAAGTTTTGGATAAAGATGTTGATTGAACTCAGGATGAAGACGAACTCCATTCCATATACTGGAAGCTAGGCCTGTCATATGACGTCCTTTACAACACTCGCCCTCAGATAGAGCTGGGGTGGAGTACCTCCCGACACAATATCTCGCATCGACATTTCGGGGGCCAGAAGTCGTCATAGATGACTTCTCGCACCTCGTCATCCTTTTCTTTCTTCTCAAGGCCAGGAAGAACAGTCTCCTCCAGCTCCACTCCACCCATATCTTCTTTGTAGAGCTGTCCGAGCTCCTCAGTAGTAATTTTCAATTCCTTCCTCGCACAATCGCGGAGACTCAAGAATCTGACCTCCTCTTCCTCATCCATGAATCCATGAAACTTGACGGCCCTATATGGAGCCAAAACCTTAGCCGCACTCTCGTATACGAGGCGGTGCAGGGTTCGTATACAATCAAACGGTTCGCCATAAAATATACTGACCGGCTGGTGTCTGAGATTATCCTCAAGATATCCAGTAGCGTCTGGTAGCTTGAAGATCAATTCGTTCAGGTGTGGAAGCGTCTGAAAGACTTCGTAGCTTAGCTGATGTGGCTTCAAGTGCTGCGCGAATGATCCGGCAGTGACCTTGAAGAAATACAGGCCGTCGATGAAGGAGAACTGGAGATAGATCTTTCGGATACCATGGTAGAAGGTGGCGTATCGGTCCAAGTGTGGATAAATCCTCGGGAATGATTTATATGTCTTCTCCAGCTCACGGGCCTTGTCGTCGGTCGGGAGACTGTTCACTTCGGCCAACTGACGATGCTTGCCCAGTCTGCGAATACTGCACTTGAAGCTGAACAAGTTCTCGGCCACGATACACAGTCCGTTGCTGAACCCCAGGTCGCTGCTTCCCGCAAAGCACAGGCGGAGGCTGATCGCGCGGACTTGGTGTGATACGGTGAGGAGAGACGCCCACTTGCCTAGCTGACCGGTGACTTCAGGTGCGCCCTGTTTGACTATGCGAACTCGGCCTCTAGACTTTCTCTGAACAGGGAGTGGCGGGGACTTATGCATGCAGAACTGGAGGATCCGCTCCTTGACTTCAGTGGGCAGACCAGTCCAATTGAAGGTATGGCCGTTGGCATTCCACCACTGGAACATGATCTCGTCGGCCACTGGCCCATCAATCGTGGGGAATGTAGCTTCCAGGAATCGCATTACCGGTACGAACTTGTTTTTCATCCATACCTGGACCGCTCCCTTGTTTCGCCCACGCTTCGCGATCTTAGGACGGCAGATAGCGAAGACAGGATCAGTGCCGAAGTTGTAGAAGCCAACACAGAGCACGAAGTCTCCATCGAGGTCGGCCAATCGGTCTGGATTCGAGGTGTGGGTAGCCTGGCATACGTCGATGGGTACGTTGAAGTGAGCGGCGGACTGGAGACGATACTTCAATGCCGCTTCGCGGATCTGATCGATGAATGCATGGTGGACGGAGGGAGGATCTTGCCATGCACTGGGTGAGAAGTTGATGCTGAAGCTCATTTTGATGTGGAAACGAGGCATCAATGGTCGGTGGGCGAATGGTTGTCGTAGAGGTTGGCCGCAAGGTGTGAGGTGTGAGGTTGAACGTTAGCAGCTGCTACGACGCTGAGGCCTTGTATCGATCAGAGGCTCGGCGGTGTGGGTACGGGCGGAGTGTTTGTGAGAATAAGGATTGAGGTTGAGTCAAGAGTGAGAGAAGTTCATGGGAACAACGCTAGGCGTCAGGCATCTACTCGCGACGCACAATAGGTATGACGTGAGAGGAAAAAGACTGCCATTGGCTCAATAAGCCAGGAAATACGAGCGGCATGCGACCGACTATTTCGAATAAGACATTGTGTTGAGACGAGTGCGAATAGTTCAATAGACGCATTCGTTGCACAGCTTCTGCTTTTCTACTGTGTGTTGATGTAAAGTAGCCACCTAGATACTCAGTTGCGGACTACACTAGCATTCAGGGCTCTTATCGCGTTCCATCTCTCTGATTATGATTGCCTGTCCGTAACACCCTCTCCTTCAAGTGCCAGATGTCTGACATTGGAGGTCATTGGAGGTGAGTCTACAGCCCGCACACACACTCTTTTGATCACTTCCCAATACATACATTTCTATTGCAGCGTTCACTACCCATCCCCATCGTCACCAGACGACCACTCCAGCATATTGCTCGTTATCCAGCACAAACAAACCAGTTCTTCGTTTGTACCCCCATCCAAGGTTACACATCCAAGGGTGCCTTGCAACGGCAACATGCATCGCGAAACCAACACCACACTGCGCGCCCAAGAGCGCCCCACTCGTTATGCTTATGCCTAGCCTCACGGCCAGCCCATACCATCTTGCTAAGGCCTGTTGTCCTCCGTGTTCCTTTCACAGCTCATGACCGTCTCACAAGCAACACCGACACGATGCTGCCAGCGGCCCTGCAAACGTAATGTCCCTTCCGCATCCTCATCTACCCTGAGACTCGTATTCGCGGAAAGGGAGCTTCGTTTGACACTGACCGTTGCATCCCGGCTGCCGAGATCCCGTGTGGCCTATCCGCTCCCTGGCTGTGGCACGTTACTTGCGGTGTGTATTTTGGGATCGAGATCGCTGTCCTGGGAGGGTGGGGCCGTGGCGGGTGGAGGGGAGTAGTGAGGAGAGGAGGATTGTGAGGGAGGCGGGGTTTGGGTTGGAGGTTGGGAGGTTGAGGTGTGCGGCTGTTATGGGTTGATGAGTGGGCAGGAAAGTAAGTGAGTAAGCTTCTTGAGAGTGTGCCCCAGAGCCTAGATCGGATCATGTCGAGGGGGTTCCAATTGTATGGGAGCGGAATATACCCATTCCTACGTTAGTCTGTTTACGTTGTGCTTCATTGAGACTATCCTATCACGATTGTTCGGTCTGTTTCCTTGTTAGCAGCCGCAAGCAAGGTATGCTCTTCTCACTCACATCATGTACCCCATAATCCCTATCAATGCATCCGCCATGCCTCATCCATCGTTCAATTCCACAGCACCGGGGTATATACAGCATCCTCCTTCAGAATCTACGCCTGTGCCCTCCTCGTCCCTTCAAGAACATAACCAACCCTCCCAACCCCTCACCAAACATCCTCAGCCCCCACCTCCCACTTCTCCCCATCAACCCTAACACACTCCCCCTCTTTATCCCTACTACAACTCTTCCGCATATCCAACGCATCCTCGCCATCATTGTAATAATCCTTCACAACCCTATACACACTATACCCCATCTTGCGATACAGTTCCTTGGCAATTTCATTGCTCCTGCGCACAAACAAATCCACAAACCACGCGTTGGCCGCGTCGGACGAGCGTTCGAGTGCAGACGATAGCGCGGTGGCGTAGCCGAGGCGGCGCGCAGAGGGCGCGACGGTCAGGGCGGTGATGTGGCCGTGGTAAGGGAGGTAGTTGGGGTATTGGACGCCGGTTGTGGAGGGCTTGTAGGGTTTTATCGGGGGGTCGAAGGGGGAGGACTCGAGTTTGCCTAGGACTGGTGGGGGTTAGCAGGCGTCGCACATGGCTGGATGGAAGACTGAGGATGGCGGTTCGTTGGGGCCTTACTGTAGCCTTCAATTTCGCCGTCCATGCCTTCTATTATTTGACACAGCTCGGGCCATTTTGTGAGGTACTCGAGGTAGAAACCGATGTTATACGTTTCTGTGAGGTGATCGAGGTTGCATTCGGATATTCGGAGGAGGTCGGTCGGACGCATTGGCCGCACTGTCGCCATGATGGGAGACGGGGCGTGGTGTGGCACGCAGCGACACGGAGGAGGTGGTGGTGGTGGGGTGGGTGCTGATGCGAGGGCTTGGAGCGATGATGCGTGTCGGCACTCCCGCGGCGAAGTCTCGCTTAGACTCGCTGGCCTGCTCTTGCGCCAATGTGCTCTATCTCTTGCCCATCGATTTGATCTTGCTTGTACGATGTGTATTAAGAATTATGAACAAATGAAAATTAACGCCGCTATCGATGCTATGCTTAAGTTACGTTTACAGAATGGGTATAGAGCAGATGAACAACAGCGCAGTACAACCCGACCACCCAGTCTATATATCCTTCATCTTCTTTCTACAAGTGACGACCTCATTCTGACTCTCAACACTCTTCATTACATCTTTCGTTTAGTATATTCTTGTTGCGCCGTCTCTCTTCTCCACGCGAACCGGTGTTGCCGTTCCCAATGCTACCTCTTCCTCTTCCTGATAGGGAATCAGCAGTGCTAGATGCGGAAAGAATCAACACTAGCCTGTGCCCCATTGACATAATCTTTGACCGACGAGGAGCCTGATCGAATTCCGCGCTGGTCATAAGTCATTGGGCTTTGCGCTCGGGTCGGGGTCGAAGGGGTGCGCAAGTTCTCGTAGTGACGGGATACGCCATTGCTGTTCGCATAAGGAGACGCCCCGCGTGAAGGGGTATACTGGCTGCTGGTATCGTTGCCATACTCATCGAATCGGGGAGTCTGGTAGGGTCGCCTTTCTCCCGCTAGGCTGTTGCCGCGGATATCGTTGGGGATGGGCGGTGCTTGGCGGAATCTGCGATGCGGTGCAGAATGTTCCTTCTCATCAACGAGGACCACCATCCAGACACCCACAGACCCGTTTTGTCCGAGCAGAGGAGTGCAGTGTATCCACCTGGGTCGGCCTTCTTCATAAGAGTCTTCAAGGTCGGACACGGCATGCGGCAGCCAGCGGATCTTCGCCGTAACACCGCGGGACCCATCTGCAAGCGCGTCGCTGAGGGAGTCTCGGACACGGTTGCTTCCGCCAATGCGATCGAGGAAACGCGACTGGAGAATGCCGGGAACACGAAGAGAGGGCGATGTGAAGAGGATGCGCAGAGACGGCGCCGGGCGCACAACGAGGTACTGGTTCATGTTAATTTCCCCGCATCTTCACATGGAATCAGTGACCACTTACGTGTTTGTATGGGCCAGACAGCCTGCCGTCTGCCTTGTTGATCGCTGGCTTCTCAGCCCTGTCAACGTCAAAGGTAGATTGGTCCTGGATCAGCAGCCTGGGCTTGTGCTGCATGCTCGCATCGTCCTGCTCTTCAAGATGCTCCCTGTGCATATTGCCACCGTATTTCCGCACGGTGTCCAGCTCGGTGTTATTGAACATCTCACTGAGCGCCTGGAATTCATCTTTCTGTGGCTCCTTCTCTGTCTGGCCTTCTTCCTCGTCGAGCATGCGCCGGAAAGCCTCAAGATCGGTGCTGTCCTTTACAAGACCGGAAATGTCGATTTGCGCGCCAATAAAGTATCGTAGGGTTCCCCGCGAATCAAGAAGAGGCGCAATCATCAAAAGATTCATAAATGGCGATCCATCACGGCGACTGTTTTGCTGTTAAGACATGCTCGCCAATGGCATCGCGTGAGTGACTTACTAGTTCAGGAACACCTCACTATGGTCTTTGCCCTCACGGGCCGCTATGCCAAAGCGCTCAACGCTGGCGCGGTTCGTCTTCGGACCTTGGAGGAAGCGACAGTTGCGACCGATGGCGTACCCAACGCCATACTGAGTCGTGCGGTGGAATTCTGGTTTCAGGTTAACAAATGGTCAGTCTCAAAGCGCAACGGTAAACTAACCTTCCGACGCAAAGATAATCGGGTTGTCGGTCCTAGATGGGTCTGTCAGGCAGAAGACCTCGGCCAGACCCTCACTAGCTTCACGAAGCATCGGAGGAAGATTCCCCGTTACACGTTTCGCAATGCTCACGCTAACTACTTGGATGAAGACGTGCGTGATAAAAGCCGGAAGATCGTCGCGGACCAGGACGTCAAAGGCCCGATTGGCTTTTTCCTCTAGGACGGCATTCATGGTCGTTCGCGCCGGAGTCTCGGTGAAGTCCAAGCCTGGAATGGGTTCCAGGGCTTCTGCAACGGCGTTGGCGTAGCTGATGGCTCGTAGCGCTTTCAGTGCATCGAGGTAGTAGATCAGAGTAGGGAGCGAGTTGGGTCGGGCGATGCTCAGGAATGACGTAAATCGAAGTAGGGATGCAGTGTCGGCGAAGATGGCCTTCAGATGCTCTTTCGAGAAGAGTTGCTCGGATCTGGTCTCGAGGGAGTATTGTGATCGTGCGTTGTCGATGGGTCCGCTGACAAGATCGAATGACTGGGGGTCATCTTCCAGTAATGGTGAAAGACGGTCTCCGTCTTCGATGATATCAGCTTTTTGCTGGAGAGGTCCGAGTTGTCGCGTTGCGAAAGATGGCGTGGACTCATATGATATGACTGAGTCGGCTGAGCTTCGTATCGTGGTCGGCTGTTCGTTCATGGGAATGCGTGAAGACAGTATATTCTGTGGCACGGCACTAGATGTGCGTGACATACTTCGAGTGCGTGACTGTTGCATGTCTGGTGTTCCACGTCCGTTGTTAGGCGACGATGGCTCTGCGCTCAGTCGCCGTTGCAATGATATGCGCTTTTGGTTGGCCTGGGGGGTACTGGAACTGATGGGGAATGAGCAAAAGGAACGAACGAACGAAAGGGGGGGGAGTAGGGTGTTACCTGGTACGGGAGGGGATATGGATATCCTTTCTTGTAAAGTCTATCTGTGGAGCGGGAGCAGTCTCGTCATCTGAAAGCCAACTTTCTCTTCGTTCGGGATCGGCCGGTCTAGTGACGGGTGAAAGAGGGGCACTCCTTGCATTTGAATCAGAAGCATCTTGCATGGTTGCAAAGTCCAGGACCAGTGGTTCATTATGCGCACCGCCACTGCCGTTGGTGACATTGGGGTGGGCATCCGTATCGGGGGCCATGACGCTATCGACATACGCTGGGGCCAACTCGGTTGAGCTCCCCATTTTGGCTGAATTGATAGTAGTGTTCGAGGTCCTGGCAGGATCAGTAGGCCGTTTAGAAGAGAACACTCCGTGGGCTGATCGCATCTTGTTCTTAAACAGGGCCATTGTAATTCGTGCAACGCTACCACGTTGCGGCCGTCAAAAAGCAAAGGGGACAAGTGGGAAAGTTTGATAACTGGGGATGGCACGGCGTGTTGGAAAAGGGCAGACGTAGATCGATGACGAAGAGAGAATTTCTGTAGGGTAAACATACCGGAGAAGCCAAAAACTGCTGACACGTTATAGGTCCCTTGTCTCTGAATAGTTAGGTACTAGTCGGTCGCCTGGCGTGCCTGGCTGGTGGTGCCAGGACGTCGACTCGCTGGCGTCTGCTTTGGGCACCAGAAAGATCGCTTTAGCCTGGTAGGCTAAGGTTCCGGCCGCAAGGATGCCGATTGCGCCGATAGTGTGGGCTAATGCAAGGCACAGTGAGATGTCGGCGATCGTGAGATTTGCCTCCCGCGGCAGATGATCGAAGGATTGAGGCTTGACGAGCTCAAATAGGGTCGCGTGCTAAGACAGGGGTCGCGGATGCTATCGATAATATGCCGGCTATCGGCGTTGTAAGCTGAGATCTACGATGGACTTGTCAGCATTGTGAAGTATCGCAACATTTCGATGTTGTCGCAGTTGAAACAAAGCTGGGGGTTGGGTGTCGCATAACCAACCCCCCGCATCAGCCACGAGTACATTTTTGTGCACCTCGCGGCATACCTTGCATCGACGCCTGATCCCTGTGCAAATCTGCAGACCGCCATGGCTAAAGAGAAACTGCAATCGTGATGTGTTTCTGTGTGTGGTCGGTCTTCGCATCCGACACGTCGAATTGGTCATAATCCTGGACATGTCCCCGTTGGAGGAACACCAGGGTTTGGATCTAGCTGTCTGCAGCCGTGATCTGTGCAGACAAAGGTTTGCAGCCGCCGGTGCTCCGTATACAACAACCTCGGGGTAGTTAACCAGCCTAAGGGATGCTCTTCCGACTGCCCTGGTCTTCCTCTTCAGCTGTCAGTTGTCAACTTGACGCGCTTCCCGCAAACTTTGCACTAGAGAAGACGGGACTGCACTCCCGGCTTGCGACCCTCTCTTAGACGGGTTCTCTCTCCAAATGCTCACAGCCGAAGAAGGACTCCACTTGAACGACATGCTGTCGCATTCGGATTGTGGAGTTTTTTGACTCGACATGACAGATGGCTTGATGTCCATTACTCGCAACGCAGATCTTTGTTTACAGAAGTCAATTGCATGCAGTGGATTTCTGGGAACAAGGGTGCGCAACCCCACTCATCAGAGGTTGCTCTGGTGTTGAACACGACGGCGATTCAGCGGCGTAATAACCCTTCGCTGTTATCCGCTACTGCAACCGAGCCGACAACGTTACAGCATGACGTGTATGGCAGTGGACCCACGGTACGCCGTAAGTGGCCTCGACTCGACGTGTCGACGCAGGGTGTTAATGTCCGAAGGGAGTCGGTTACTTTTGGATTATTGTCCGAACAGCTTTTTGTTCCTTTTTGCGGATGGTGGAGAAAAGCTGTGGTGTCCAGAGGGCACGTGTCGTGGGGCGACGCTGCCTCGTGCAATCTGAAATGTGGGCTGGAGCTGCGCAGACAACTTCGCGTGGGCAAGCGTCATGCGCTCATGGTCGACACTACATGCTAATGTTCACTAGATTCACAATGAACCTTGGAAGCCTACTGTTTCTCCTGCATCACGTGTGCAGCCAATCAACGGCCAACCCCGCCGAAATGCAGCCAACGAAGAGATGCGCCTAGATCCGAAATCTAGATGCCCGCGCATTTAGCTTTGTCGCGAAGGAAATCGATGAAATCCCCTGAATCTTGGGAAACTTTGGAAACCTTCGCAATTCGGGTATACGGGCTGACGGGCTACCAACATTCGGCTGTGACCTAGTCAGCTTTCGCGAATTCCGTCATCTTAGTTCAGATCCTTAGATAGGTGTCGGTAGCACCCGATACAATTTAGATCAAACCTTCTGTCCTGAACCCCAGACCGCCACGTGCATTGGTCGCTCTGTCGCTCTGTCATTCCTGCCAATCGCAACATTTGATTCCTCGTTTTGTCAGTCACAGCGTCATTGTACGATTGCGGTAGTATAAGAGAAGAATCCCACACTGTTGCGTCTGACCATCTTGGCATCTACGCCTTTTTGTCGCATATCCAATCCCGTCTTGGGATCTTCATTAGGACTAGTAGCCACATGGATTTAGCTTTCATTGTCTTCTGTCACTGTCAGGCAACGTTCAGAGCATAGCCCACTATTCCTTGATTCTTATTCCCATGTATCCCGGTGCTGTGTCCGTCAACTTCAATTGGCGAACGAACAACCACTTCGGTCCCGCTATAAAGACAATAGATTGCGATACCACGAATATACTGGTAGCTCTATGTTGCCAAACACAATGGATCGTGTACCCGAGATATACTGGAAGTAGGTTTATGTTTCTTTATACTGATCACCACTTCATTTCTCGGCGATAGTTTGTGATGAATTTACTTGTATGTGAAAGACACCCTGCAATCTTATCAGGCGAGCGCATCATGAAGCTTTCACAGAGATCGAGCAAGCTGTAAAGTTTGAGTGAAGATTTCACTGGCAAAAGCAAGAACACGGATTCGGCGATGTTGCGGAGGGCCAAGGTGACTGTAGCGGACTGTGGCATCGATCGATAGTGAAACAGTGGTGCAAAAGGTCTTTCCATGTGGATCACATCATCTGTCTTCCTTGAGTACATTGATGTGGTTGGAATCATGATGACACTGTAGTTATGAATTCGAAATGCGTGCAAGACCTAGTCATCTATCCTGGTCATATCTGAAGTAGTCGTCCGACACCAATAAGATGCTCGCAGTGCATGCGAACAACTACAAGTAGACCCTGCACCAGTTGCAGTAAGCACTAGCAGTGCGTCACTTTCAGGATTAGCAGTCTTCGTCGTTTCCGCAAACTCGAGAATATATCTGATTCTCGAGGCTAAAAATCTCCAGGAACGGACACATTAGCTCTCCATACGAACGTCATCACATTAAAGACCAATGACGCATCTCCCAGCACCACAACGGGCAACTGACGCGGCAGCAGGGAACCATATGTCCAGGCTACGCACTATACTTGCCAAGCACGATAGGACGCCGCTCGGATGCAAACGGGGCCGTCGTACTACGAAGAAGAAATGTCAGGGTATTCCTTGAAGTGGCGCGGCATCGCAAGGGCCCCGTGAGTGAACCACGTCAGGGCGGTAGTTTGAAGGATGTTCAGGGGCCAGGGTAAATGAACAACAACCAAGACACGAAGTAAGAATCAAGCGACCGCCACAGTGGCCCGCTTCCCCTAGCAGACCATCACAGCTGGTACGTAGCCACCCCATTCAAACGAAGAATGGAACGTTTCTGTTTATATACCAATGTAGACTGCAGCGCAACTCTTTAGTGTCTTGCCTGTGCGAGGTGTAGCCACGTTTCCAGACTGGTCGATAGCGAACATGCACAAACGTTGAGTTGCAAGTCGTCCCAGTACACTGTAGAAGAAGTGAGAGTAAAGTATACTATTGACAAGCCTATCTATCGTTGGATCTATAGTCGTTCGTACAGGGTATCATATGCTGGTTGAGTATAGTACAGTGATGTAGCAGTATGTGTGCTCATCATACAAGAGTCGTTTCTTCGATTATCGGAGTATGTTTTTTTCGTCCGCATCTTATGTACAGGCGAATTCCTTTGGTATCCGCGTTTATGTGGGTCGAAAAACGGAGGATCAGGGCATTTTTGGCCGTTCAGCGGGGCGTCTGATGTGAGCGCATCGTCTGTCTCGTAGGAAGCTGAATGCGAGACCTTAAACTCTGGAGCGCTTCAGTCGGCGACGAATTATCTAAGTCGTGACCGTCTGCGGCGCCATCATCGTGTTGCGCATCATGTACGGCTTCTTGTTGTGGGGAAACTCCTCGAGCATATCTCGTGTCGTCGTAGTCTTGCGCTTCGGGGTCATATTGGCGAGCTGCGCGTCTACGGGGAGGACGTGCTGTAGCCTGAGCAAGTTTCTGTTCGAGAAGCCATGCCTTGCGCTTATATCTTAGGAGCTCTTCATCCTGTTCGAGTGCCTTTCTCCTTGCTTCAATATCCGCAGCTGTGGTATCCGACTCCGTGTAGGTGCGTGCTTCAGTCGGTTCGCGTGTCCGATGCGTGTTTGTGTAGTTCGTGTCGCGGGGCTGAGATCGAGCATGTCTCTCTCGATGCGGCGGGGAGTTCTGGATGCGCATGGTCTGTCGCAGAAGCTGCTGTTGTAGCCTGATGAGCTCGCGCTCCCTTTCAGCCAAATGGGCTTCTCGAAGCTCTAAATCGCGGTCTCGGAGCGGTGTTCGAGGGGATGGCTTAGGCCTGTCTGAGCTCGTGGGCAGAGGTCGGTCTCTCAAAGCACGCACATCTAGCCGATCCAACAGCTTTGCAGGTGCCTTTGGAGGTAGACCGACGCTTTCGCGAAGCCTAGCGGCCTCGTGGTTTCGCGCCCGCCTCTTCGCTTTCACTTGAGGCTTCAGTATCTCTGGCTTGTTCGATAGGCGCAAACCATTTCCCAGGCGGACGTTTGGCTGTAGGACGCCATCGACCAATGTACCGCGAAACGTCTCCAGAGCCTCACTATTCCGCAGTCTGTGTTCGTATCTCAACTGAGGTGCGTCGTTGAAGCGGGCGGATATCGGGTGGCTTTCGGTGGGGTCGAGCGTCAATTCGACGTTTTCGAAGGGCGGGTCGGCGACAGACACTCTCTGCTCATCTTGGGCGTTGCGCGCCAGAATGCGGAGGGTCCTCTCGCGCAACTGTCTTGTGTCCTTACTGGGGCTGTTGTTAGCATACACATTCAAACTGCGAGCCGTCGTACTCACTTGATGATGATGAAGCGCTTACTATGCGGGCTCTCTCGTCGCATCTCCTGCATTTTCGGTGTAGGCCCACTTACGAACTGCGCTGCTATCTTCATGCGCGCTTCGAAGGCATCGTGAGGAAGCCATGCAAAGGGAAGTATGAAAACAGACCCATCCTCAAAGTACGCCCACCCAGTAGGGAACTTGGACTTGCTGCGGGCATAGAGGCTGCCCAGATTTACAGAATTATGCTGTGGCCTACTCAACCCAAACGGAGGCACAGTGCCCCAGGGCGGGACGCTGTACAGACTCCCCAGGTTGACATAGTTACCGTATGCGCGGCGAAAGGCCATAGTCCGCCGGTGTGGGTGCTATGTCCCAAGCCCTACCTTGTGGTCTACACTATGTTGCGCGAGCGGCACGCACTTTCTCTGCGGCGGTAGCGAGTCGTGATACGTGAGCGTGTGCGGGCGACACAGCCATGACCAGATCTAAGACTCCGCGGGCAAGGCTAAGGCTATGGGAAAGCGAGGAAGCGCATAATAGGCGATGGCGTACGCACGTAGGAATATGCGGCTAGACAAGACAATCAGCCTCCTGTGTAGAGTGGCATGGTAGACACGTCAGCGACATACCTTGTGGTGGCTGCAACGGTGGTGTGGTGGCTGCGAAGGATTCACGATGCAGCACTCAAATTGCTGCGCACGAGCCCGCTTGTTTGAGTCGGGTGTACCGATCCGCCACCCCTTCGTTGATCGACATGTATCTTAATTGCACCTCACATCCTATTCGGACCTCCTTCACTCCTCTCTTCTCTTTATAACTAATCGTGTCGAAGAACTCTTGCGTTTCTTGGACTTGTCATTCAAAGTCGTTTGTTATACTATGCATGTACTACATGATCGCTACTATGAACGCAGCATCGAACAGCCCAGAATGCGGGTCTACGAAGAATAATCCGCCGTACCGTATCCGTCTGATTAATCGCCACGGCGCCATCAAACTGACACGTTGCCGCCACCTAACATTCAACCCGACTGCTACTCCATTGCGGCACATCTGTGTCAGGCTGCCGTCATCCAATATCGACCCCGTCAACGCCAAATAATTTTACCGCTCCGACTCACCCTCAAGATCATCCTAGCGCACTCAGTAATGATCGGCGTTCTTCGTAGACGACCGTTGTCCCGGCTCCTGACTCTCCGAGCGCTGTCGGGCGAAACAGTCGCTGCATCCGCAGAAAGAGCAGTGCCAGAGGATACAACTAGATCGAGTCCGTTTGCCAGGCTTTCATCTGGTAGACATTGACCCAGCTTCCTACATGAGAATGCGGATAGGTGTCTCCTTCCGCACGCCATCTAGTATGCGCCTGCGTTCATGCAGCGTTCTGCTTTTCAACTATGCTATCTATCGCCATCGACCGAGTGGAGGGTGTAGTTGGCGTCGGCGGTGCCTTTACTTCCGCCTTGCTTGGAGTAATCTGCGCCTGCAGCTGTGGCTGTATTTGCGGCGGCATGGTCTGAGTCGGCGATAAGGATGTAGATGCTGCGTCCTCCTCGGTAGGTTCATTGTCGTCTCCAAGTATCTCGTCCACTTCCCGCAGCCAGTTGGCTTTGAGGATCTCCATGGGAGGATCCAAGTCGCCAGGCTTCCCGCCGCGTCGTGCCTCCGCTGCAGTCATCTTTCTTTCACCGCGTTTGTGGGGGTGGAAATGCATGCGTCGAAGGTGGCTTGCGGCATTGTAGCACTCGTTGTACCTCTTCCCAGTTTGACATGCCTTACAGTTGGCCAGGAACGACTTGTCGGGTGAAGTGTCGATAGTCACCCAGACTTTACGTGCCTTTTTGTGGACACGGTTGGTATGACGTCGGAGCTCATGCTCACTGCGGAAGCCATCGGGATAATCCGCGCAGAGGGGACACTTTAGTCGCAATACTCTGCGAGACGGAGGTTTGGAATTTGCCTCAAAGGTTGGTGAAGTAGAAGGCGTCGTCGTCTCGATGCTGGGTGCTGTCACAATGGTCTCCCTCGGTGCTGGAGCGGGCTCTATTAGTTCGCTAGCCTTGGTATCCGTGACGGTAGGGGTAGTGGTCGGCGCATCTTCTTTCATCCTGGCTCTGGTTCTTGTAGGAGGCATCAACTTGATGGTGCCAGATGAAGTCCAGGTAGGTTCCGACCGGGCTGAGATACAGTAGTGCTGTGCAATTCCGTCACACGGTCCGATACAGCTGAGTGTTGGGGAGGCTCGCTTGGTGGGGCGCGTCCTGTCGCTCTAACGGCAGCTAAAACCGACAGGTTCAGAGAATGGCGGGTGTAGTCCTAGGGTACTAGGGACGTGTGATGTGTTTCCAAGACGATCTGGAAAGGGCGGGGGGGCCAGGCAGCAAGATATCCCGATTTTCGCTGGGCCCAGTGGAGTGCGCACGAGGCTGGAATGGCGCAGTCAGCCTCGTTTCCCATGGTGAGTGGGCGAGCCTTGAGCTGCAAGCCACGCTACAAACGGCAAGATGGCGAGCTGAGTGCTTATTGGGTCTCCTGCCTCAGGCTGAACGACGTGTGCTGAGCCCATGGCGAATCAGGTGACGCAGCCTGCTTGAGCTGGGCCGGTTTCTGGGCCAGTTGGGCCAGATAATCAAAAGGAACGAAGGATTGCCGTCCAAACCCTGCTCGGATCATTCCGTCTCGCAACGAACTGCACGTCCAAGAAAGCGGAGGGTTGCGGGCTGGCTAGGGCGAGCGAGCATCGTGGTTCATGGCTTGGTCATGCTTTTCCTAATTCGATGTTCCGGCTCTCGACCGACTTGCGCAACCCGGGAGTAACCTGGACATTGACAATTCACATCGCATCATCACCCGACATCACGACACCCCTCTAGGTGCTTTTGGTAAGGCAGCATCAGCATTCGCAGCACTGGTCTCTCGTTATTTCCTTGTTCAGCCTTGCTCCGGTCCTGTACCGGAAGACGCCTTCTGCTGGTCCAAGCGGAGCCGAGGCTTTGGACGAATCAGCGACTGTGGGAATTTGCTTGCTTTACGAAGAGTCGCCGATCCAAGGAGCCAATTGGTGTCTCAGCAAGCCTCGAGTCCAGCTGCAGAGGCATGGCTTGCACCCAGGAAGCACGACGTCTCCGTCATTCGCGATCGGCTGCAGCCCTCTTCAGCTGAACCGATGTTGATCTTGCGCTCTCCATCTTGCGAGTCTGGCGGGTGGGGCGCAATCAGACGGTACGAAGACACGGAGTTTGGCCTTGATCCTTCGCCTTGCTGAAGTCAGACTAGGCCACCTCTCCGATATGCGGTATATGGGCACTACGTGTAAGATCGGTGGACAGATGGTCCGAGGCTGACGTCCAGCGGCCACGAAACCTTATCCGCCGATTAGCATCAAAGACCCTACCGCGGGCGTGGTACCCCTCTTGGCCCATTCGAGCATTGGTCGCAAAACACCATGCATCCTCTGTTGCATGAATACCACATTTGATCTGCCTGACTTGAGGCATACCATCGCGATGATGCAGCTCTGACACCGCTCCGATGCTACCCAGATAGGCTACAGCGCGCAACATGTCAGCCTTCCCGCCCAGCGCTGAAGCACGCGCGCCTTACGGAGGTAAAGGGTGTGAGTAACGCTTATCGATTCGTAAGCCTCCTAGCCTGCATAGGGCTGGACTGACGTTTCATGTCTCGAGATGCTCGTCATTTTTGCGAAGCACAGGAAAAACCACGTTTGCACATGGATGAGCCATACATACTCTGCCGATGGCATTGTTGAGGAGATTGCTTTCAGGTCTACAGGCTCATCCACATAGCTCACACTTTCGACCCTTACACTCATTATGCGCAGTCGTACTAGCCCGTCAGCTTCGGCTCTGCCCCTCTCTCCGCGTCAACCGTGCTTTTTCCTCAGCCTCACGCTACAGATGCGAGCGGAATGCCTCTTATACGACGGATGCGGACTGTACTCATTTCGTTCCATCGTTTGGAAGCAGTGCGACAGACTGTCATTTGTTCGGAGCAGAGCTGAGCGTGTAGCCAACCTCCTGAAAAGGATCAGCTCACTGAAGCGATACGTGAACATACCCGCACTGGACCCAATGATATACGCAGACGTCCGTAAAAAACGCACCTACGAATACTTGACCAGAGCTGGCAACTTGATTCCTTTGGAGCAGGCTCGCTGTCGATCTGTAGGATATCTCGGGTACATGCCGTGGCAGAGCGGCAGTAGTACAATAGAGCCTATTAGCAGTTGATTACTTGTGCTCTCTGCCCAGAGCAATGTGGTGTTCGGGGAAGGTACCCGCTGTCTGTTGTTTCGCTCTGGGTGGGAAGAGATGTACCCTGAAGCCTACACTGACGCTAGATATGCTGGTTTGTTTATTTTGAGCTGCAGACTGTCTGTTTTCTTCTTTGTATGAGGTGGATGGCGGGCTGCGTCGTGATCTTCTTTGCACATGCGAACTACCCGACGAACACATTAGCCTACCCTAGATTCTGCCGCTGATACTAAGGCGGGAAAGACAAGTCGCTACCACAGTACCGGTACTGCTGGACGCCTGAAGTTGTTCGATGTAGTCAAGTGGGCTAGAACGTCTGGCAAGGCGAGTTTGTGTATCATATGGCCTCGATGCTAAGGAACGGGTCGTTGAAGACGGCCTCGGTATTTGGTGTTCGTGGTTGGCTTTCCTGACCCTCCCGAGGAGAACGAAAATTGATATCCCACAATCGTCAAGCAGCTCAAGATGGCAGTCTGCGCACAAATTCTGATGCGTCTTATGAGAAAGTCGGACCGCCTGGTGAGTGTGAAGACAGAGTGGCATGTGAAGGAGCTGTTGCACACGGGCCCTCTCTTGACGTTTGGAGGATAAGCAGGGGTGCAGACGATCATGCTCTCTCCTACCGAGGCCATCCTCTAGACAGCATCGAGCCGACCACCCCACATATGATTTCATACGCTGCTACGTAGATTCCACACGTGAGCATCTCGTCGCAACATTGTCTGGTCGCGACACCCCCGATACGGCCGCACCTCTGCTCGCGCAGCCGTCGGCATCCGCCATGCGCCCCCCTGGCCCTTCGAGGTGACATAGGCGCTATCACCAGAAATGTCAGCAAGCTCCAGCCATGGCCGGCCGTCGGGCGACTCGGACCGCTGGACGACATCCTCGCACACGTACATCGCTAGCAATTCGGGCGCATACACCGACCACGGCGAAGGGAGCTCTTCCCCGCGGCGGAGCCAAGATTTCAGACCTGGCACAGGCGCAACCCACGACGCAGGGAGCTCAGCATCGGGGAGCCTGCTGGCTAGGGACTCGGTGCACGAGGAAGACTTTGCGCGCCGAAAGCAGCGCGTGCGCAGGTCTGGCGGCTTCCTTCTAGATTCAAACTTCCCGAGTGGGCCAAGGCATCGGCATGGCAACCACGAGGCTCATCGAGACGAGGCAAAGGGCAAGCGCAGCTCGCGACACCATGGCACACACGAAAAAGACGCAACCAGCTCGCCTTTGTCGCGAGAGATACAGAGAGATGGCCCAAGCCCGGCCCCCGGCGCAGCATCCCGCATCAACTTCACCGACTCCCAGGACCGACACGACGAGCGCATACGCATTGGCAAGACGAGGGGGAGCGCATACAACATGCAGCCTCCAGCCCGTGATCGAGACCCCTCGCCGAACACCGCGCAGCCACGGCAGGCCATTGACCCGAACCAGCTGGTACACATGGCGCTGAACTTGAGCGAGAGCCGACGGAGACACATCAGCACTGGTCAGCTTCTGGCAGCCCAGTCACGAGTTCCCTCTGCTTCACAGCGAGAGGGCAGCTTTTCCAACTATGGCGCTGGCGGCAGTCTCAAGCAGTATCTCAACGAGCAACGGCGGACTTCACGCAACATATCCCCAATGGGCGGCCAGGGCTCTCCTACCCGTCACATGTCTACCTCGATGCAGAGAAGCGCGTCTATTGCGTTTCCAGGCTCGCACAACATAAACCCGTCTCCTGCTACGCTTGCTCGGGTCGAGAAAGCGCGCGCGTATATCGAGCTTCGCATGGAGTATCTTCGGCTACTGGAGTTTCTACCGCCGCTGAAGCCCGATGCTAACAACCCAGGCAACTTTGTCTTTTCCTCAAACAGCGTTCCAGGCAGTCCCCAGGCACAGCTCACCCGTGTCCCGTCTCACGCTGGCAAACAGCACGGACTCGGCCGACCGTACAACCCTCTCCAATACATACGAAACCGCCGAAGCAGGGCTCGGGAGCGAGTGACGCTCGACCACTCTTCGGAAGAATTCGACGACGTTGAGCAGGTACGCGAATGGGTGGATCGCGTTGAGCAGCATGCGAAGCGAGCCGGCTACCGTCGAGACGATGCAGTACAGCTGCCCAAGATACACCACGATCACGAAGTCGGACCTGCCCCGAGCAAGCCTGCGAGGCCTCACAAAGGATGGATCTTCAGCCCGCAAGAATTGCTTGCGGACGCGCACTGGCTGGAACAAGGGGACAACAAGCGGCTTGTGGAAAATCGCTACGGCCGGAAGGTATATCCGCCCCCCAAGGAGGTGCAACCAAAAGACTTCCTCTCGCCGCGCGCAAGCAAAGACTACCCTGACAACCGGAGGAAGAGCTGGATTGATGGCTTGCCCAGCATCGCAGTCGATCACACGACAGGTGATGAGAGCGACAAGGGTAGTGAACGTGGGCGCAAGCGAAGGCTGCTTCCAGCGCTGCGGACTGATAGCCCCAGAGGCGGCAAGCATTCTAGACGGGGTTCACGGCTGCGCAGCCACGACGATACCGATAGCTCAGAGTCAGAATCAGATACTCGGAAACGAAAGACCCGCATCGTCACGGACCCAGATCACAACACCGGTCCTTTGGCTTTGCTCCTCGAGCAACAAGCTCGGGAGTCTCAACCCAAGTCAACCCCTGACTTCACGCCAGATACACCGAACAAATGGGGGCGGAATGAAGAGGTCACATCAGACAGCAGGCCCTCTAGAGACTCGCTAGAAGTCCCTCGACCCACGAATGGCTTCGCATACATGAAGGAGCGGCGTAATTTTAAGATGCCGCCGAAGTCTCGTACAGCTCTCACTCTTTCCATTAACGATAATGAGCCTCGCTCGTCTTTCGACGACCAAGACAGCTCAGCTCCAAACACTCCACACGCCAAACGTTTCCCACACATTGGAGGCGATCTCTCATCACCTCCAAGTCGATCAAACTCCCAGACGAGGAAAGCGAAACGGGGCAAGTTCAACAGCATTTTTCATTCACATGAGCATAGTGATGATCACAAGCACGAATTCCGCCCAGACTCTGCTGGAACAGACAGGAAGGCCAGATCTCGGCAGACCAGCGAGGAAACTCCAGACGATAAACACATTGGAACAGCCATCCTAGCAGCTCCTGGTGCTGTGATGAGTCTACTCGGTCACCGTAAGAACGATAGTGTCAGTAGTTTGCCCAGCCCGGATAAGCTACGTCGCAGGGACACCCAGGAGCCACACTCAGCTGTCACAAGGTTTTTCAAGGGCGTAAAGAATGAAGGCACTAAAGTCGGTGATATCATCTTCAGAAGAGATCGAGCCGACGACTCGGATGCAGACACCGTATCTGACCGCAACTCTGTTGATTTCGACGACTATGGCACTGTCAAAGCCAAGCACACCAAACGGCCACCGATGAGTCGGACCGTTACGGCAGGGACAGATGGTAGTGTGACCAGCAAGGACCGAAACCATCTTGATCTACCTTCGTTCCGGCCAATTCACACCATCCCAGACGAGGAATCGGATTATGAGCATCACATCTCACGTCAGGCGCGAGAGCAAAAGAACAGTCGCTCACCTCGTGTTGATCGGCTTCTTCCACCACGCATGGATCTTGGTACAATATCCGGGAGCTCTTCTACGGGAGACCTCACTCTTACCCAAAGCCATAGTCAGGAGCGAATCAACCAAGTGCTCGCTCGGCCTGGCGGTGACATGGTGGGCCTCCCTCCCACTGGGCTCCGAAACGCACAGGGCTCAAACAGGCAGCGTAGCGCCTCTCGGCCTGGGCTCAACGGGAGACACTGGAGCATCGCCGACGGTGATGACAATGCTGCTGACCGTAACAACAGCGCGAACATCGTTACCCAAGCGGACATTGCTCGGGTGCGCGCGCTGTTCCTTTGCTCAGGTGTCAAAGCACGGGAAATCGACCGACGCGCGCACAGTGTAAGAGATCCGCCTCCCGAGTTCCTGAGTCGCGCTGCAGCTACATCCAAGACGAAACTCTATCCGGTCCCGCGCAAGGAAGAGCACGTTCTTGCTGCACGCATGCTGGTTAAGGATCTGGAGTCATCAACCAAGGCACTACAGTCCTCACTTGAATGTTTTCGGGACAAAGCCATCCAGCAGCTCACCAACCAGATCTCGGCTTTGCAATCTACAGTTGACTCTGACCTCATGCCGCGTATCCTAGAAAGCGGGGACCAAGCTGTGCGCATCACGAGTGAGGTTTCTGGACAAGGCCCCCTGCAGGTCAAGCAGATCACAGACGAGATCGACCGCATGATTCGCACGCGCAAACGCAGGATGCGCTGGATCCGAGGTTTTGGATGGATGCTGGTTGAGTGGGCTCTCGTCGCACTCATGTGGTGTCTTTGGCTCATCGTTGTGCTCGTTGGATCTGTCAAGAGAGTATTTGGTATGGGGATTGGAGTGATTAGATGGCTGCTGTGGCTCTAGGCGTGCCCGACAGTTTTCCATTTGTTTTGTTGCATACAACGGCGTTAGATATTTTCCCGAGATCTTTCCTTTCTGGCGTTTTGGATAGTGGGTAACAAGCTTGCATGCTGCGATACCACTTATAGACTGTTGTATGAATATTGGACGGGGGCTTTCTTGGTTACGTACGTAGACGTGAATATAAAATTGTAATAATGTCGACTGGATTCAGCATGCGCGTATTAATTCTACTGGACGCCTTATCTCCTCTGGAGATTATCCGATGTATGATTGGATGAGCGTAGGGTTGGTGATGTTGGTTTGCTGTCACAAAGTGAGTCGCACGTGACCTGCATGAGTCCGCGCCACTGACGCGTCTACGTCATCGGCGTCCTTGCTTGACAAGCTTCACTCATCGCTCTCCGCAACACTAGTCAACACAGGCAGAAGCGCGCAAAGCCTCCGTCACAGCCTCTTCGACTTTGCCAATCTGTAATTTCTCATCCTGCATCGGCCATGAGGCATTGCTAATCAGTTCTTGCCCCACAACAGACATCCGGCATGGATCTTCAGACGGTGTTCGTCGCCAAAGACCATGGCACCAGCCACGTCCAGTCGGTACGTACCTGCGCCCACACACCGACTTTACTCAAAACGCCTGTACTAACATCCCCTGTCACGAAGTCTAACGGCCCTTCTTCGTTTGCGTCACTCGCTGCAGCTTTTGTGCCCACGGCTGTGATTGCGACTTTGTACATGGTCGCGTTCGTCCTCATCTGGCGCCGCTTCCCCAAGATTTACTCACCACGCACGTTCATCGGCACCGTACCAGAAAAGGATCGCACGCCATGTTCGAAATCGCCAGGCTACTTCGAATGGGTCCACACCATGAGGACCGTTCCGGACAAGTTTATGCTTTACCACCAGTCGCTTGATTCGTATTTGTTCCTGCGATTTATGAGGACTCTGATATTCATCTGCGTAGGTGGTGCCGTCATTACCTGGCCTATCCTCCTGCCTGCCAATTATACCGGTGGCGGCAGATCGAAGGAACTCAATCGCGTTGGTATCGGCAATGTGAAGAACAAGGACCATCTCTATGCGCATGCCATTGTGGCATGGATATTCTTCAGTTTCGTCATGTTCACTGTTGCGCGGGAACGACTCTGGCTTATCGGACTGCGTCAAGCATGGAATCTGTCAAAGCCAAACGCGAAAAGGCTGTCTTCACGTACTGTGCTCTACCTCTCGGCACCTACCGCGGCTCTCGACGAAGGCAACATGCAGCGATTCTTCGGCGATGATGCGGTCAGGATCTGGCCAATCACCAAAGGCGAGAAGCTTGTGTCACTCGTTTCGGAGAGGAACTCGAAAGTTGAGGAGCTAGAGGGTGCTGAGATGTCTTTGATCTTGAATGTCAACAAGGAAGTTGGAAAGAGCCACAATCGGAACATCAAATACGAGCAGCTACCCAAGCAAATGAAGAAGTCCCTACGACCTACACACAAGTCCAAGACACCAGTCGTTGGCAAGGAAGTTGACAGCATCAGCTATTTCCGGGATCAGATTAGGGAGAAAGAGGATGACATCGAGAAGGCTCGCGAATCAAACGAGACAGCTGAGAGTCTCGGTGGAGCGGCCGCGGTCTTTGTTGAGTTTCGCACTCAACCTGCGGCTCAGCGAGCCTACCAACAAATCGCGTCGTCTGATATTCTGTCTCTCACTCCTCGCTTTGTCGGTACTACTCCAAACGAAATTATCTGGGCCAACCTGAATCTGGCACCTGCACGTAGGATATCGCAGAGTGGAGTCGCAGTCACCCTCGTCATCGCTACCATCGCACTCTGGTCCATCCCAGTTGGAATAGTCGGTGCTTTGTCAAACGTTGAGTATCTCGCTGAGAATTTCAAATGGCTCGCGTTCCTCAACAAGCTTCCATCCGGGCTTATGAGCCTACTTAGTGGTCTCTTACCTTCGCTGGCCCTGAGTGCCTTGGCTAGATACGTGCCGAACATCTTTAGATGTACGTGTCTTCCTTTGACCCACATTGCTACCTCCTGGCTGACACAATGCAGACATATTTACAAAATTCGGAGAGCCGACCAAGACTGTCATCGAGCTGAAGGTGCTCAAGTGGTACTTCGTCTTTCAAGTGCTGCAGGTCTTTCTTGTCACGACACTCGCTTCAGGTGCTGCAGCGGTGGTATCGCAAATCGTCAAAGACCCAAGCGGAGTACCCCAGCAACTCGCGGAGCGTTTGCCAAGAGCATCAAACACCTACCTCGCGTACTTCATCGTCCAGGCTTTGACCAATGCCCCGAGTAACATACTGAACTACACGGACGTGCTATCATATGCTTTCTTCGACAAGTTCTTCGACAAGACACCCCGTCAGAAGTACAACAGCTTCATCACGATGAGGGGCATGGCTTGGGGCAAGCTGTTCCCGAAGTACGGCAACTTTGTCGTCATTGGTACTTCATCTTAATTTCCATAAACAACACTTTACTAATCTATCGCAGCGATCGTTTACTCTTGTATCGCGCCTCTCGTTCTTGGCGTCGCTGCCATCGGTCTTATTATCTTCTATTGGTGCTACCAATACCAGCTGTTGTATACCGCGACGCCGAAAATCGACACTAAAGGACACGCGTACACGCTTTCTCTGCAACACCTTCTCACTGGCATCTACATCGCTGAGATCTGCCTTATTGGCCTCTTCAGTCTCCGCGAAGCGACTGGTCCTCTAATCATGCTTGTCGTCTTACTTTTCGCCACCGCCATCTTCAACTACATCACGAACCGTTACTTTGCTCCGCTCGAACAGTACCTCCCCGCAGATCTCGCGCTCGACTCTGAAGACGGTGAGCAGGCACCACTGCTCTCTTCAGCGGAGGAAGGCGAATCTGAAGCTCTTGAGCACGCAGAGTCAAGGATTGATCGCGTGAGCGAACGAACGCGTGTGCCATCCAAGTACGTTTCGCCTGTCGCTCGTTTCTTACAGCCACACGTCTTCGGCAGCTACACTGCCTTGAAGGCTTGGTTGCGCGACGGCGACTTTGACGAAGACGATGAGCCACAATACAGCGAAGAGGACCTGAAGAAAGCCTATCTCAACCCTGCTTTCACAAGTAAGACGCCGGTTGTTTGGTTGGCAAAGGATAGCATTGGAGCGAGTAAGCATGAGATTAGCGAGAACGAGAAGACGGGACTGAAAGCTACTGATCAAGGTGCGTGGATCACGGGGGATGGGAAGTTGAAGTGGAGTGTGGATAATTTCGAGGAGGTTCCTGTGTTCAAGAAGGCTATCAAATGGTGAAGGGCATCCGGGATGGGTGAGACGGGAGTTAGGATAGTAAAAGCGGATGCACAAGCGAAAAAGTTGGAAAATCACTTTCGTAACTATACCAAGACTTCTATCGGTCATTGCAGACTATTCCGCTCGTGATCTGCGAACAACCACCGTCTATTCTTCATCCTCATCCTTTCGCTGCTCCTCGAAAATCTTTCTCCCTTCCTTCACCAACGCCCCTTCATCCTCACCATCGTCCTCCACCCCCGCCAAAACAGCAATCTTCACATACGCCAACTTTTTCACCTCACTCTCTTCAAACAACTTCATTATCTTCCCGTACACTGGGTTCTTTTTAGGGAAGAAAGATAAACAAGCTAGGTCCTGGGGCGTGAGACCGTACTTGTTCTTACATTCTGTTTGGTTAATGACGTCCGATGGCTCTTCGGTGAGGTTCGAGTCGGCGGCAATGGTGTGTGCGGATAGGTATGCGGACCATTTTTGCTTGGGTGTCTTATCTTTGGCTGATTTGGTGGGTTTGGCTGGGGCGTCCTTCTTCTCTTTCGCCGGCGCAGACCTGTCGTTCTTCTCTGGCTTCATCGGCTTGTCTTCATCTTCAGACTCGGGGTCGTCTTTATTTCTAAGATCTCCCGTTAGCCCATCCATTCTACCAGACATGAAATAAACCAACTCACTCCGCTTTCCAAATCTCCTCCCCCATCCTCAAAACCTCCTCATCACCCCCCTCCACTCCCTCCAGCATCCCCACCTTCCTAAACCCCAACTCCCTCACATTCTCTTCAAGAAATAACTTCATCGTGCCCCCATACAGCGGGTTCTTCTTCTCGTACCGCAGTAACGAACCCAATTCCTCTTTCTTGAGCCCGTACTTCTTCAGCGCGTCGGTCTGCGTGATGCTTTCTTCCTTGTCGGGCTCATCTTCTAGCATCTCGCCCTCGACAGAGTGGGATGCGAGCCAGTCTTGCCATTGTTGTTTGTGTAAGGCTTTGTCGGCTTTGGCTTGTTTTTCGTGAGCTTCGGTGGCGAGTGTGCTGGGGGATTTCTTTTGGCGCTTGGATTTGGGGGGTTTTGCTGTGTCGTCGTCTTCGTCGTTGTTGTCGGGTTCGGCGAGACGCTTGGGGGCGAGGGGGGCCTTTCCTTCTAATGCGTTCGATTCTGCTTTTGTGCTTTTTGTAGGTCTTTTGGAGGGAGCTGTAGAAGTCTTTCGGGGCTTGCGCTTCTTGTCTTCGAAATCAGACCCTTCAGATGCAGACGTGTATTTCACCGCTTTGGTTGCGCGGCTGGATTTGCGTGTTGACATTTCCGCTCTTGGTGTGGTGATTGGTCACCTGAATTTGCTGAACTCGACAGAAGTTGATCGCAAAATCAGAAATGGCTGCTATTACGTGATTCTGTCGAGAGTGAAAGTTGAAGCAAGTTCTCCAGATAAAAGAGAGAGAAGAAATCAGAATTGTTTATAGATCGGCGACTTCCGTAATCTCTCGCGTCTTACAACAAGAAAAGGACAAAGCAGGTTTCATGTTGCAGTGTGCCTGCCGGAGATTGGGCAAGTTCGTTCAAAGGAACGCTTGGGCTAACGCAGGAGCGGTTGTAAGATTGGGCGCTACGTCATTGCGACGATCATGCTGCGAAAACCATGTTTTGGTGGCCGTATTTGCAATAATGTATGAAATTAGTGCACGATGCTGACGTTCTGATTCAGGAGGTTGTCGTGGATTTATTTCTTGTTGAAGCGGTTTCTCTCTTATTAGTGCGTGTTGGGTGTTTACCAGTCTTGCAAATACTAACATGGACACTATGTGCATTGAGACGAGTCTAGACGCGCATCGAGTTGAGTATACCACAGATTCAGGCTGCTTCCTTCTCATAGTAAGAATCAATCGCATTTCCTCAAAAGCTGTCACGAATTTCCCGATTCAGTCAACGCGCAGACTATCTACCCTTTCCACAACGTCCATGCCGTCCACACCCTTAATCAGATCCGCCGCTTTCTCTGCAACAGCATACACCAAGCTGACAATATTTCCCTGTACATGAGTCGGGAAGATACTGGCATCCACCACCCTCAGTCCCCCCACGCCATGAACTTTCAGTTCCGCATCCACGACGCCGCCTTTCTCCTTTGGTAGCATGGCACAAGTGCCGATGGGATGGTACTCCGTCACCGTACTGTTTTGTACAAAGGTCTTTGCTTCCTCCAGTGTTTTCGGTACTGGGCCGGCGGTTTTGGACGTGATGAGGTTACCATCAGGGTCTCTGCGGAGGGTTGAAGCAAGGGGCTCTACGGATGTGAAGGAGATGCAATGAAGCAGCGCTCGGGCCATCATGTCGAGGTCGAGAGGATGAGCAAAGTACGCTGGGTCGATGGTAGGATGCGCAGTTGGGTCGGAGCTGTTGATGTGAATGGTACCACGGGACAGAGAGCGCGTGCTACATACACCAATTGTGCACCACATACCCTGCTCTACGGATGGAAATAGTTTGCTAGCCGACTCTGGGTTCTGCATCTGCGCGCCCGTGGGCAGCATGACAATTTGACAAACTGCTTCTTTGGGATCGAGGAGTTGGCGCCCAAGGAGGGGGTCACGACCTGCAGGATCGGCATCTGGATGCTTACTGCGGAAGTCTTCAAGGAGAGATTGGATGTGCGATTCTGCGTTTGGGAAGTCGGGTTCGATCTTCGCGAGAGAGGCGAAGCCTGTCGTTGTAGGCGCTCCTGCGAAAGGACCGGCTTTGTGAGTAATATATGCTTCTAAGGCTTGTTGCATGATGGCTGGGTTCTGGACGAGAGCTTCGGCGGTGGGGTACTCATCTTTTACACCCTGGAGAAGATCAGCATTTGGAAGTAAGTAAAGCCATATGTGCACTTACCAGTACGAGGCCAGTCGCTGTGTGATCGGACAAGTTCTCCCCAACGCCTGGGAGATCAACGAGGACGTCAATTCCAGCTTTCTCAAGTACCGTAGATGAACCAATTCCGGAGAGTTCTAGGATCTGGGGAGAGTTGACAACCCCGCCGCAGACTATGACCTCTTTGCTCGCCTTTATTGTGTGCATAGTGCCATCGACCGCGAATTGAACGCCGGTGGCCTTTACCTGCTCAGCGGTCTTCTCAAGCTCTATCTTAGACACCAGTGCATGAGTGATAAGAGTCAGATTTGACCTATCCGCGTTGGGCTCGTAGTAATCTCTCGCAGCGTAGCTTCGTCTGTTGTGCGTGGGGTCGATCGTGTTGAGCTGGTTGAAGCCGCCAATCGCTGAACCGGTACGAGGGTCCTTCGCGGGTGAGTATCCGGCGTTCAATACAGTCTTGGGCCACACGTCTTGGCCCCAGGTTACATCTGTTTCTGGGAAGCTGATGTGAATTGGACCAGAGGTGCCACGAAGTGATTTGTCGAGGTATTTGTTGTCCATACCCTTTCCGAACGTCTCTGATGCTGGGTGATATGTTTCAAACTTTTTATAGTAGGCCTTCATATCGTCAAAGGACCAGCCTTTGTTGCCGAGCGCTGCCCAGTTGTCCAGATCTTGCTTCGATGCCATACTGAACATGTTGTAGTTGATAGCGCTGCTGCCGCCGAGGACTTTGCCGCGGGCCCAACCATGTACACGACCAACTGTGCCCTCCTACGAGATGATTAGACGAAGCTAATTGCAGCTTATTGTGTACTTACTTGAGGGACAGTCTTGTAATCCCAATCATATTGTGGTTTGCCCCAGAGCTGGGTAAACATGTTCGGTGCATCGATCAAGAGGTCGTTCAGCCCATTGCCGCCAGCTTCGAGGATGGCTACAGAAACATTCGGGTCCTCTGTAAGACGAGCTGCGAGGACCAAGCCTGCGGTGCCACCTCCACAAACGACGTAGTCTGCAAGTCCCGAAAAGTCAGCAACGAAACATACTGATCAGACTTCCAGACAGCCATTCAGATGACATTGATGCGTTCAAAGTGAAGAGTACTTTCAGATTGTCTAGGAGTAAAGGGAGATGTACATACCATACGACTTGCTTGTCAAATCCTCGAGAGACATATTGGGTCAATACCTGTAATGCTCCAGAATGGCCAAAGACTGCAGGAATGAGACCAGTTTATATATGATCGCGTACTCCAGTAATAGAGCAGTGCTTCTTGAAATACGGTACTCTGCGGAGGTCTGGAGTGCGAAGTCAAGGCTGTCAGCTAGGCGGGGCTGCGCACTACTGTGCCTTTCACATGCAGTGCTGAATTCTGGGCCGCCACGAAGCTTGTTTGAGGACTATGTCCGCAGAACTTCCAGATCATAGCCGCATACAGTTGCAATAGGCGAGAGTACACCGATTGACCTCGTGCCAGCTCGCTCCAGGCATCCAGTCATTACTCGTAAGGTAAATGGTAATACCCAACGGAAGGGCCGAGCAATACGTTAGCCTTCGTGGCCGTTCTTTGAGGCGTCCGACGGGCGATTTAGATTGGCGATGGGTTCATGCGGGGCAGTTCTTTGTCGGCCTACCCGTGGATGTATCCAGGTAGATATCCAGCATTCGGAAGCGTGATGATGGAAACTCTCCCATCACATCACACATGCTAATCAGACCGCCGCCGATAAGTTAGGCAAGCTTCAGTTCCGCACTAAACTTCACCTTACTCCATAAGTCGTGATGTTACGAGAAAGCGACGAGCTGACGCAGCAGAATCCACTTGGTAAGCGGCTGAACAGCCCTTACATGTGGCCAAGAAGTTAGCCTACTTGCATGCGGGGTAACTTTGAGGGCTTTCTCCTGGCGTTGTCTCGGCCTCGTGATAACAGATGGCGACGCAGGGCATTGGCGGGATGGAGTCGTTGCCAACGCAGCAGCGAAACGGCCCCACAGGTGCGATCCGTCGCTCTGTTTATTCAGAACGTGTGTAAAGTTGTTGATACGGAGCGCTGCATGTCCTGGACGGATGTGGTGCTTGTAGAACTGCTCCAGACGGTATGTCCAGGAGGTTTCAGTCGGCCGTGGTAACATTGCAGACACCTGCACCCGCAATCGACGGCTCATGACAAGTTGCCCGATTGGGACAATGCCGCGGCTAGCTGCACAGACCCTCAGGCTTTGGATGCTCCACCAAAAAGTTTCTAGAGCTTGCAACTTTCGACTTGCGACAACTAACTTCCGCAATCACGTCCGGCCATGCTCACCGAACAATTCGTCGCCGCCATATCGGCATCGACTAAGCCGAATACAGGCGTCACCAAAGATGCGGGTATTTTCGTCCACGAGTTCCAGCCACTCGTCGCCCAAAGACAGGCGCTCAAGAAGAGCGCGTCTGCGCCAAATGGCATCGCTGTGAGCGCCTCACATATCTTCGCTGCGCAGTCGGAGAAGGCGATAGTGCATGTCTACAGCAGAGACAAGGGCAACCAGGAGGCCCTCGTGCCCTTCCCGGAGAGGATACACAGCATCGCACTCGCGGCGCAAGACAGCGTGCTCTTGCTGGGGACTGAGAGCGGGCGCATACTAGCTTGGGAGGTCAGTCATGAGTTTGGAATTCTAGGTGTAGTGTGCGATTTCTCTAATACATATCTTAGGTCTGCTCAGGCCGTCTTGTCTCTACGTCCACGTCCCATCTCCAGCCAGTCACGAGTATTGTTGTCGACCCGTCTTCCAACTTTTTCCTCTCAGGCTCCTCGGATGCCATGATTCACGTATGGGCGCTTCCCTCGATACTGTCATTCTCTCCCGACGCCTCGCGTTCGCCGATACACACCCTCTCTACCCACCGCGGCCCCATATCGTCCATCGCTTGCGGGCACAGCTCGAGCACGGCCAACATCGCCGTGTCAATATCAGGAGACAAGTCTGCTATAGTATGGGACTACCATAATGGGCAAGCTCTGCGGACATATCTACTGCCTGAGACACCGACTGCAGTCACCCTCGATCCCGCAGACCGGGCTTTCTACGTGGCTTACGCTGACGGCAGCTTACAAACCATCGACTTCTACGACGACATCCAGAAAACCACCTCAATAGACGTTCTTCGAGACAGTGCCTCGTCTCACCGGCCAATTCAGCCGCCGCCGAAGAGCCGGTTCAATGCAGAGTCGCAGAAGCTCGGTGGAGCTCTCTGTCTGAGCCTTAGCTGGGATGGCACAACAATCATCTCGGGCCACACCAGCGGCAAGATAGCACTCTGGGATACTGCAAAGTCCAACTATCTTTCTACCCCTGCCAATCTCCCTGGTCCTGTCTCAAACCTTCGATTCCTCCCGCCGACTGGCTTTCCCAACGCACCGGAACCGACTTTCAAGATCCAGGCTATTGTTAAACCGAAACAAGATGCAGGGCTGACGAGCAGCGCAAATGGCCTGATTCCGCCAAACTATACCTTGAACCTGCAGCTGACGGGTCGGTTGCGCAGCCCCCACGTGTCTGCGACTGAGAAGAGATCTGCGGGAAGAAG